ATTGCACATTATGCCTGATAAAAGAAAATTATGTCAGTATTATATCAGGATTAAAAAATGTAGTACTCCTATGTAGGAAAACCATATTATTTTTACTCCTAATTCGGGGAATTTCCCTATATAGTATACATTCAAAATTTCAAATGCAATAATGTATACACGCACGCATATACATTATACACAATAAATACTGCTAAGATTAGAAAAAATAACAGAAACAAAAACAAAAATCTACAGCCTAATAATTCTTTTAAGGAAAAAATAACAAATTCGCAAAATTGACAGAACATAGGACTGTAAAAAGGCAAAAGCTTGTCTGAAATGTGAAAATAAGATCCATAGACAGCTGCAGAGTATTTAATACACATCTTAGAAAATATGGAGCTAAGAGAAGATCTGTAGGGATGGTATTTCAGATTTAGAAATTTTTGCGGTCTAAACATTTATTAAAGACAAAAAACTTTAAAAGAATATGTTTGATGTCTGGATAATTGAATCAAGACTTGATTTTTTGAGAATATTTGGTGGAAGTTGAAGTAGCGAGGAATGAAGATGGGAGAAGGGAATGTGGGAAATGAGATACCTGGTTTGGATGTGGAAGAACTGTGAATTGCCGGACAAAAATTAATTCATCTTTTGGAGATCATGGGATGTTCCTAGGAGGTAGCAATTGCAGAAAGAATTTAAACCTTACCTTGAGGCCAGGTTGGGGCATTTTTCGGATGTCTGGGGGGAGGAATGCGAGCTTTGGGATTGGACAGGGAAACAATTATTGATCGAACAATTAACCCATCCCCGGTCATCCATAACCAATCGGACGCCAGACAGAATTACGGATGTCTAGTCAAAAGGAGTCGCCAATGCCGACTTAGACCAAAATACCAAATAGATAGACGAGTTTGTACCCATTTTTGTATACTACACTTGTTTGTCTCACATATAAACAATTATCTTTCAACAAGCAACTCTATACAATTGTATATAAATAGACAATTATTTGTGTGTGAGACAGACGAATGTACAAACGATGTACACCAGAATGTGTACATCAAACATTTCTGTAGATAGATTGGACTAGATTGATGAGTGTTTTTTCAAAAATGTTTTGTGTACACATTTTGTACATCTGTCTGTCTCACGCACAAAGAATTGTCTGCCTACAGACAATTCTACAGAGTTGTCTGTGGAGAAACAATTTTTTGTGTGTGAGAGACGAGTGTACTTTGTGTACACCTAGCACACCTCGCGTTTTTTTGCAAAGTAAGGTATGTGTGCTTTCTATTTATTTCTTCCAGACAAATTTTAATCATATAATTTTTTTTAATTTTCTTACATTCCATTTTTATTTATTAAACCTATTTAACTTTTCGCATAATGATTTAACTTTATCTTCATTCAATCTTAAAATCCGCAAATTACAATTATTACAAGACTTAGACCAAAATACCAAATAGTGTGAAGTAACATTATTTGGTAACATCTTTAAGTTGAGCTATGTCATGCAATTGTGTGATTGGTTTCATGGTTTGCTTTAGGAGTATTAAAGATTACATAATATTTTTGCGTCTTGGCCCTTGCCTCAAGGTATTCAATGGAACATGTCTCGGGATTAAAAAGAGAAAAAAGTCAAATAAGCCTTCAAACTTTTGACAATTCTACAATCACACTCCTGAATCGGAAGACATTGCAAGTAATATCATTGATCCATTGAAATAAAGCAATCACATCCCTTTTACTTACTTGTGCGGATAACTTCTTCCGAGAAAGTTACCAACTTACCGACACTAAAAGGTAAAAAGGATCAGATTTTTTTATATCAATTGATTGAAGGATGTATGTGTGAGATTTTTCTATTTAATGGATTGTTTGAAGTCACTAATAGTTTAATGGTTTATTTACTGCTTTTTCCTTTTAGAAAAAAATGAGGTAAAGTTCATAAAATATGAGTAAAAATATTTAAGAATTTCAAAATAGGACTGAATTATTTTAATTCCCTGAGTAACTAATGTCAAGTTTGGAAAATATAGTCATGTTTCAAGTTTGATACTACCAAAATGTGACAGTAATTACTCGTATTTAGAGAATAAAAACATAAAAAAATCATATTTTGAAATACACAAACGTTTTTTGTCCTATTTAGATCAGTTTCTCAAAAAATAATGATAGATGGGCAAAGATGTGAAGGATTACAATGAAGTGGGTAGCTGACCTCTAAAATATTTAAAATATTGAATATTGAAATACTTTCAAATTGACTATACTTCAATTTAAAACAAGTCCAAAATTCATGGCTGAGTATTAATAGTCTCCAAACCACTTCAAAAGAGTTTAAACTTGACCAGATCAAACTTAGATAATAATAAAATATACACAAAATGGACATTTACCAAACTAGACAAGTCTTGAACATATCAAATAAAAAACATTCATAGCAATTAAAAATATTTTAAATCGTCATGTATATATTTACCTTTTTAAGGTTAAACAGCGACACCACGTCTCGTATAACTGTGTCATCTTGTCTTCTTAGGTGTTCCGGAATATTTTATACAATCAATTTTAACTAATTAATTTGTTATTCGTAATATTTGGTTTCTTTGCACAAATCTGAATTGCACGTTTTTTATTTTATCATTTCATGTGTCGATCAAACTTAGTCAAGTTATAAGGAATGAAGAGGGTAGTATATTGCAAATACAAATAGTAAACATTCAGTTATTAGCTTCCATTAATAGTTCAATCAATATCATATTAATTATCATATGAGGAACAAATTTGAACAAGATTTATTTAAGAATAGTAAATGCATTATATGTTCTTTGTTGTTACTATGGGGTCCTGAAGCGCAAGGAGATTTTACTCGTTGGTGTCAATTAGGAGGTTTGTGGACTTTTGTTGCTCTCCACGGAGCTTTCGGACTAATAGGTTTCATGTTACGCCAATTTGAGCTTGCCCGATCCGTTCAATTGCGACCTTATAACGCCATCGCATTTTCTGCTCCAATTGCTGTTTTTGTTTCTGTATGAATTCGTGGAACAGACTATGTGGATGTTTGCAACCGATTCTCCTTTTTCTTTTTTAAATACAAGTAGATTCAAAATCAATTTCTTAGAAGCTGGGCTTTTCAATTTTTGTTGAATGAAAGATATTCAATTATCATTAATCAAATTGTTGGTTAAAGCCGAAACAATGAAAGCAGGAGGATAATCAACCCAAGACTGCAAACCATACAAATAACAAGCCATTCTAGCTAACAAATGAGTTGGCTTATTCGCTGACCACCTCACATGACAAAATGAAATGAACGAAAATGAATCTGTCGTATCTCTAATGTCGTCTCTCAGAAGTCCCACCAAGGAGCAACTTGAACCTCCCTGGATTTCCGAAATTGCCCCGACTACATCACATTCAATTTCGGTCTCTTCAATTTTTTAAAAATGGGAAAAATAATTAAAATACCTCAAACTTTGAAGGGGTGTGAGATGAACACCCCAAACTTGCATATGTATTTTGAATATCTCACATGCTTTATATAAAAAGTTATTTTGGCACCATAGTCAATTATTATTTTTTGCAAAAATGTAAATTTATGATTTTAATTGCATAATTTAAAATATTTAAGAACTCATGAAGATACAGTTAACACTATAAGCTTCCATTGTGAAATAAATAATGTACCCCCAATCTATATAATTGCAACACTATTAATTTGCTATTTTAAGTTATGCAATTAACCCCATAAATTTACATTTTTGAAAGAAATGATACATGACAATCGTGCGAAAATTACTTTTTATATAAAGTTGGAGGTATTTAAATTACATAAGCAAGTTTGAGGTGTTTACTTCACACCCCATCAAAGTTTGGGGTATTTTACTATTTTTATTATTTTTCCCTTTAAAAATTCACTTCTATGAATAACTTAGAGCAATTAGAAGCATTTTTACACTTTTATCCAAACACCCTAATAATTTCAACCAATATGTAACATGTCCACTAATGAGCATGCTATTATTCTATGTGAAGCAACTGAATGATTCGACCTATTAACTTTTTCAATATACGATAATTCTTTTATATTAATTTAATGTACTTATATAACGAATATGGTTAATACTTTCATGTCCCTTAAAATTTATTCAAGTTTGATCGGTATATGAATTAGTAAAAACTGTGTGGTTGATATTTGTGCAAAGAAGAGACAATTAACTGAAACAACAAATTATTAACTTAAAAGGGAAAACAACAAAGTTGTTAGAACAATAAAAAAGGACAATTGACAAAGATTTAAGAGATGGAATATTTAGTTGCTCCAAACAACTTTTCATATAGTTGTTCCAAACAACTTTTCATCTCTGTTTAAAGCAATAATTATATGTTTAAGTTTATTTCACCCTCTTTTACACAAATGTGAACTCTATAGTTTATGCTTATTTATATAAAGTGCAAGTAACTTATGAACAAGTTATAAGGATTTATTTTATCTTACCCAAATGATTTAGTCGGATTTACTACACCTATTTAAAGTTGTTTATCCCTACTTCTTCATAATAATTTGATAATTTTGATTTGGGTTTTTAACGCAATTTTTAGTGTAACATTTACTATAATACTCCCTCCATTCCATTGAGAGATTCCCGATTCGGTTCACGATGTTTGACTGATGATAAAATGAATTGATTCTTGTTCACACTCTGATTTTTTTTAGTAAATAAAATTTGCATATTCAGAAACTACATTAAAATTGCTACAAAACTTGATAAGAAAATGTAAATTTGATAAAATTTTGATATATAAAATAAAAAAGAAATGATTTATGATTATTTATGAACGACGATTGTCAAGTATTTTTTTGTCGGATTACTTACTATCTGAATGATTTATTATCAATTTAAACCTATTTCTTCTCCAAAAAAATAAAAAAATAAAAAATGATTTAAATTGACAACATGAATAGTTCTTTATAACCTTTGAATGGGAAGGAGGTATTACTATACTAATCAAGGAAATGAACTTTTATCACTTTTCAAATGATAGACGTATTTTTCAGGCATACTCCCGTCTCAGACACATTTGTTATACAGACATAACTTGTGAAGGATGTGTACAACGAAACACTTGTAAAAAAACTTCACGAAGAATGCTCAACTGCGAAGAGATTTCACAAATCATTGATTGATTGATTGATTGTTGCATTATACGTAGTAGCAAAAACGAGGAAGCTGATTCTTCAAGCAACCGACAGAAGAGTAGAAGAATGCAGATCAAATGAACGGAACAGTACCCACCTGAAGAGATCCGATAGATGTCGGGTGGAGGTGCTGCACCCGCCACCCCTGCCGTTCCTCCGCCAACACTGGGCGGTCATTCTCGGTGCGGGTGGGTTCTGGGCCCATCGCTGGACAAGATCATCAAGAACGTCGCGTGGAGGAAGCACTCTCAGCTGGTCGCTGCCTGCAAGTCCGCTCTCGACAAGCTCGATTCTATAGTCGATGACCCCGTCGATCCCGCTTCATGCTCCCCTCTCTATGGCCTCTCTTCACCTGACGCTGAATTCGTCTTGCAGCCCATCATCCTCGCCCTCGACTCTGCTTCCCCGAAGGTGGTGGAGCCAGCTCTCGACTGCACATTCCGATTGTTTTCTTTCGGCCTCATCCGGGGCGAGATCGAGGTTGGAACCCCCCCTCCCATCATATTTCGCTTGATTGATTCCGTCTGCAAGTGTGGCGCTCTAGATGAAGAGGCTATCGAGCTCGGCCTTCTTCGCGTCCTCCTATCTGCTGTCCGGTCACCCTACGTCATTCTCCGGGGAGATTGCCTTGTGCACATTGTCAGGTCTTGTTATAATGTGTATCTAGGTGGCTTGAACGGCACCAATCAGATCTGCGCTAAGTCCGTTCTAGCTCAAATGATGGTCATAGTTTTCACTAGGGTCGAGGAGAACTCCGTGAACATCAACTTCAAGACTGTTTCTGTTGCTGATCTATTGGAGTTCACTGATAGAAGTTTGAATGAGGGCAGTTCCATTCAATTTGCTCAAGATTTTATCAATGAGATTGTGGACACCAAAGCTAAGGAAGTGCTTCCTGATTCCAAACTGTCCTTGCTATTGGAGAATGGAAACATTCAAAGGGCAAGTGAGACAGTTGATGAGGAATCAAGTGAGGGGGTTGAGATGGACAGCAATAGCAAGATCCGAGAGGATGGCTTTATGCTTTTCAAGAATTTATGCAAATTGTCCATGAAGTTTTCGTCACCAGAGCACACTGATGATCAAATCCTGTTAAGAGGGAAAATACTTTCATTGGAGCTCCTCAAGGTTGTCATGGATAATGCAGGCCCAGCCTGGCTCTCCAACGAGAGGCTAGTATTGAATTAATAACTGTTTTGCTATGTCCTTGCAAAGTGCACTACATCCTCATTCATCTCTTACATGTTTGGACCATCATTTTTGAATGATGGAATCTTCATAATTCTAGGATTCTAGAGCTCTAGAACTATACTTAATAGGCAGATGAACAACCTCTTCAGCTAAATGCAAATTTGATTTCATATCCTGCGCATGCATTCTTATTGCGTCACAAAAATCAAGTAAAACATGGCTCCCATTATGTATCAGGGATATACACATAGTTCTATTCATTCTGATACAAAGACCTGATGTTGACCATTGACCACATGCTGGACGGGTATAAGGAAAAATGGGATTTGAATTAATTGAGAAAATATGATCCCTTCATTGCCCAGTTTACATTTTTGAAATTCTGTAGAAACATGAAACTAGTGTAGAAAGGTACGACTTAGCAGTTTGGGTGTTACATTTAGTACCAATCTTTGGTCAAACTGCATCTTCTTCATTTATTCATTACCAAGTTTTTAAAATTATCTTGTCATGTCACCTTTATTTAAATATTACATACTATTCGTACTGCATCTAAGAAGTACCGAAGTTATGTGGACCTCACGTTTCACCGATTCAAAAACTGGGTAACATGTGGGGATTTCAGAAACTTTGAATTTCCGATTCCGCACTGTTTTTATAATAGAGAGAAACCCCCTTCACTTATTAATTAGCATTTGAGAAACGTTGGGTCTTCATTTTTTTCCCATATTGATAGGTGTTCGCAATAGATGTTAGTCATCTTTGTTGGACCTACTAATGGATTCTTTGTAGGATTTTTTCATAGCAACATAGTCTCAGGAAATGTATTGCATTTTACACTTAATGTTTATTACATTTTAAATTGGGCTATGTACTGATTTAGGAGTATATTTGAACACATTGAGTATTTTTATCTTGGGTTATGTAGCAAAGTTTATGTGAAAAAGTTGTGTACATATATTCAAGCAAATATTCACAAATAAATTCCTATTTTTATACGGGAAATTACCATAAATAGGACTAAAAACGTTTGTATATTCCAAAATAGGACTATCATGTTTTTGTTCCCAAAACAGAACTAATTACTACCATGTTTTGGCAGTACCAGACTTTAAACATGGCGATATTTTCCTATTTTTGGAATAAAAACGTAGCAGTCCTATTTTGGAATTTTCAAACCCTTTTTTACTCATATTTCGGGAATTTTCCCTTTTTATATTTACCCCTTTTCACAAATGCCTTATCCCATGTATTTTTTTAAAACAATGTTTCCACGTTCCCCCTTCATACTACTTTGACTAGTGTGAAAGTAAAAGTACTATGTATCATAAAAATAAAATGAAAATAGCTTCAAATCAAGTCTTGTTATTTGAACCAGACAACCACTTGGGACAGATGGAGTATCTGAAACCCAAGCCATCGCTGGGAGTTACGAGTTACTGTTCGCATTCTGTCCCTTTTCATCTTTTAATCGTTAGAGCAATCTTGCCACAAATTCAAAGTATACGTAGCAGAAGACATATTTCTGTATGATGTGACATGTTTTTCTGACTTTTCCCTTTACACAGGTTTCTAAATGCTATCAAACAGTTTCTATGCTTATCATTGTTGAAGAACAGCGCACTGTCTGTCATGACCATTTTTCAACTTCTTTGCTCAATCTTCGAGAATCTATTATCAAAATATAGGTCTGGGCTGAAATCAGAAATTGGAATCTTCTTTCCTATGCTGATCCTACGTGTGCTAGAGAATGTGCTTCAGCCTAGTTTCTTACAGAAGATGACTGTTCTGTTCCTACTAGATAAGGTTTCCCAAGATCCTCAAGTTATAATTGATATTTTCGTCAACTATGACTGTGATGTTGATGCTCCAAACATATTTGAAAGGTAACACCAAGACCATTATGCTTACATTTCTAATGGTAATTTTTTCATCTAGACAATGTGCACCAGTGTTTCAAATAGTTATTGTACTATCCTTTTCTTAGTTCCAATACAATGACATCCAAGCCTTGATCTCAAAAGATTTTGGGGTCGGCTAGCATGAATCAATCCATGATATCAGAGAGAAAAGAGAAGACATATAGGAAAAATAAAAAGAAACATTTCTAGTTTGATTAATTATCCAAGGTTCTTACATCCTAGATGCCTCCCCTCTTTGAGTTGGCCTGAGCCTCAACTGTTGGGATCGGGATGGACCCTCCACTCAGACCCACTAAACTACTTAAGCACTAGATTCTTATAGGGGGTTGTTGTTAAAGTGGTACATTTAATCGGGTACATTTAATTCTTGGCTGCATTTTAACATCTTGTGATGGATCTGGTGGTGGGACCCTATCTGATCTCAAAATTTTGTACAAAAATAAAGATGGGGACATGGGTATGACTGTATAGTCCCAAACTGGTGATTGAAAAGTGATCATCATCATCACTCTAGTGCCACAAAGGCTCCCACCTATGGTGGGTAGAGCAAAATGGCTCACTAATCTGTCATCGCTTCTTTGTTAGGAAGCAGCGGTCAGATCATGGTGTTGAAAGTGATCATCATCATCATTACCCCAGTGCTGCAAAGGCTCCCCACGTACAGGGGTAGTACGGAGTCTTACCCCTGTACTAAAGCACGGATAGACTGTTTCCGAATGACCCATAGTGAAAATTGCGTAAAAAATTGCATAGACTGGCTGTTACTTTATAATAAAGAAGTGCAAACAGTTTATTGAAATAGTGAATTAGATCAGCGATATTTCCATTTCTGAACCAAATTAACTGATATGATGAAATGAGTGGAATATCAATATTATTGGTGAGCAAGAAATTATTGTGATGTTTTTTTTATCAACCAAAAACGTGAAATTATTTATATAGTTTTTTTTCAAAATGTTTAAAGCAGGGCATATTAGAAAAAATTTCCACAAGTTTAATACTCAAGATGAAAAGGAAGTTGATTAATAATTTGTTCTGAGGTGGGGGTAATTTCATTAGGAACAAGATGTTATTTTCATCTCGTTTTTTAATCTACCTCATGCTTCTCTCTTGGCTGTCACATTTTACTTTTTTCTGATTTAATGAGAAAATGACTACTACCGCAGTCTGGTGGAGTGCATGGTGCAATGATGTAGACCCTACCTCCGCCAGTCACCACGAGGCAGCATTAGTACCAAAGTGGAGGAAAAGAATTTGGACAATATGACGCTCTGTGTTGCCTATATCACTATATATGGGGAAAAACCATTCTATTGGATGCATTATATGACAGAGTTGTTAGGTTGTACAATGGCCACTGTAGTTACTGGAACATGAATGCCTCTTCCATTTACTCAACTGTAATAGGAACTAGTTCTGATGAAATGTGTGTGTGTGTATGTAGTCGCTGGGACAATTGATTTTGGCTCCTATTGAACCGGGTGTTGTAGCTGTTCAGAACTGCAACCCAACTATGCAGTCAGATTTTAGAAGCCATTTTTATATATGCCTCAGGGTTTCAGCCCTGAAATAATATTATTTTTATTTTTTAAGAAGTTTCAATTGCCTAATTCACAGGATTTGAATTTTTGTCTCACCCTGGAATCCTGGATAAGTGGATTCTTCCCTTTGACCTGTCTCTGTTTTCTTGGTTGATATCGATTTTTACAAATAAAAGCACCTAATGTAACCATACTCTCTACTTCCTTTCCTCCACTTTGGTAATAATGCTGCCTTGTCGTGACTGGTGGATGCGGCAGTCTCCACCATAGCACCTTTGCTCGTGCACATGTTTAGCTAATGGCAACTAATGACTGATGACTTTCATCTGTAAGCATTACGGGCCTTATAGTAAAAGATAAAACACAGTTTGTAACTCGACATTACCCAGACTTTTGCCAAACATGAACTCATTCAGCAGTGCTTGCTGAATTGGTTGGTATTGAAAAAAGCAGCACATAAGGTACTTTTTCGGACGAAGTTACTGAATTAATGACACTTATCACCTTTGCTCTTAAATACTTCATTTATATCTTCTTTCTTAATTTGTACTCCCTTCGTATTTAAAAGTTTGCTACACTTTCCTATTTGGAATGTATTTAAAAGTTTGCTACATTTTCCCTTTTTGGTAGGGTTTTTCTTTAAAAGATCCAATTACCCTTACTTTTTCTACTTTTTTATCTTCTCTTTCCTACGTTTTCACCTTCTCTCTTACTTTTTCTACACTATTCATTACCTCTACTATTTCCCCCTTAAACATGCATGCAGAACTGTCAACGGCCTTCTCAAAACTGCATTGGGTCCACCTCCTGGTTCGACTACCACTTTATCCCCAGCCCAAGATTTGACATTTCGGAGTGAATCAGTGAAATGCTTAGTCAGAATAATAAACTCCATGGGCACGTGGATGGACCACCAACTGAAATTAGGAGAGTCCAATCCAGTGAAGCTTTCTGGTTATGACAGTGCAATTGAAAACATTACTGCACCCAGTGAAGAGGGAAGTCTGGCTGACCATGATCTGCACTTAGAGGAGAGTTCTGAAATCTCTAATGCAATTACCTTGGAGCAGAGGCGAGCTTATAAACTGGAAATACAGGTCAATTGATAGTGGTGTTATATAGATTTGTAATGAGTGGTTCTGTATCATTTTTATGTTTTCTTAAATAAGCCTAAAGTTACTTTTATATGCTTTTTTGGTTAAACGAGAATCCATAAATATTGATGTATTTTGTTTAGTTTTTCATGTAACAGTTGGTATACACAAAGTAATTTTAGTGTGGGTCATGATGTTACCAGGTCAAATGAGTACCCATGGTGGGGCCAACAATGTATGGGTTGATAAAAAAAGTGGGTTGGGATGGCATGCAGTGAGGTAGTGTAGGAGTAGGTTTTTTATGGGTAGAGATATTTATAACAAAAATCAGGAAAAAATCCCATGTTACATATCTTTTTTTTTCTGAGCACAAGGAATTTATGAAATATGAAGTGTTCAAGTTTGCTAAAAGTTTCCTAATTTTTCATTGGAGAACTGCTCAAGTTTGCCTTTCAATATGATGTTATTTGAAATCCAATATAAATCATGAATTATGAAGTTATTTGAAATCCAACATAAATTATGAATTATGAAGTTATTTGAAATCCAATTGTTTTCTTGATGTAAACAAACAAGTGCATGAGGCATTTGTTTGTGGCATCAGCTATCAAGCTGGGACTTTGTTGTGGTGCATGTAAATGCCCTTTACCTTACCACCAAACATCCCATATCTTAAAAACTTTTTTAGAAATTTGTTTCTTTAATTGCTCGTAGCCTCATGTAGTTATCTGTTTCCATTCCCATTTTTATTTATTTATTTATTTATTTATTTATTTATTTATTTATTTATTTGCAGAAAGGGGTATCTCTGTTCAACAGAAAACCTTCAAAAGGGGTAGACTTCCTAATGAGTACAAAAAAGGTTGGCAATTCCCCTGAAGAAGTAGCTTCTTTCCTGAAGAACACTTCTGGACTAAATGCTACTATGATTGGTGATTATTTAGGAGAAAGGGATGAATTGCCCTTGAAGGTTATGCATGCATATGTTGATTCATTTAACTTTGAACAAATGAACTTTGGTGAAGCAATCAGATATTTCCTACGAGGTTTTAGACTTCCGGGTGAAGCTCAGAAAATTGACCGTATAATGGAAAAATTTGCTGAGCGCTACTGTAAATGTAATCCAAATTCTTTCACAAGTGCTGAAACGGCTTATGTCCTTGCTTATTCAGTGATAATGCTCAACACCGATGCCCACAATAACATGGTGAAGGATAAGGTGCGATTCGTAATGCTCTTGCTCATTTCATCATAAACTGCTGCCGCTGCGGCCAATGTTTGGTGGGAAATGCCTTCTGAGTGATATTTGATTTTCTGTCTATGTAGAGCAGCAAAAGGGAGTCATTTCATGCCTTGTATTCATTTGCTAGATTATGAGAGCCATATTTTCCACAATCAAATGTACCTTGTATTCATTCACTAGATATCAGAGCCACAATTTTGTCTGAATCAAGGGGTTGATGTTCTTGTTCTTAATCATAACTGGAACCTTAGTTTCTAGAGCTGATGTGGAATATAACAACCAAGACAGTATTACTCACTGCTCATCGGGACCCCATTTGCTCAATTATTGACTTGTCGATCAACTATCACACAAACTAGAACTCTTACAGGAATACCCTTCATTTGATTCACCTTTTCCCTTTATACTCTCCTGAATGCCCCCATCTGCCCCCATGCCATTACTCATATAGAAAAGTAAGTGACCTATACCCAGTAAGATTAGGAAACCTAAACCTTATGGGGATAAGAAACCATAATACTGTAAGAGAATGAAACAGGTTGCTCTCTAGGGAGCCCTAGCAAATATATTTATTATAAAAAAGTGACCTATATGGCTTTACCTAGTAAGGACAAAATATCCTCCTTTTTCAGCCTTATAAATTATGTATTTTCATTTTCCTGAATTTCATTATTGTATTACACTTGAAAACTCGATATGTGTTTGTGTAGGATAATGCTGGGCTTGTTTCTGACTTCTTGCCTCTACTGGTTTTGCCTTCTAGATGACCAAAGCTGATTTCATCAGGAATAATCGAGGAATTGACAATGGAAAAGACTTACCTGAAGATACCTTGGGTGATCTCTATGACCAAATTGTGAAAAATGAAATAAAGATGAATGCGGATTCTACTGCACAACAAAGCAAGCAGGGGAGCAGCCTGAATAAACTTTTGGGCTTCGAAGGTATACTAAATCTAGTGTGGAAGCAGACTGAAGAAAAGCCATTGGGCACAAATGGAGATCTTATAAGGCATATTCAAGAGCAGTTCAAAGCTAAATCTGCTAAATCAGAGTAAGTTTTGACAGTTATCCCCCTAAAGAAAGTATTTTACTTTAGGTCATTTTTACTTTTGATCCTGAACTTTCAATTTTTCCAATTTGGGTGCACAGTTATGGATTTATTGCCACACCTGGTCAATTATCTGGTAAAAAATCATCTGGAAATTGTGCGGAAATCAGTTATATAAGTATTTAAAAGACCAAATTTGACAAAAATTGATAGCCGTGCATCATTAGCTAATAAATGAAATTTGGGGGCTAAAACTAAAAATGACATAATGGTCACGGGACTAAAACTCTAAAAGTGGAGTTTGTTCATTCAAAAATGACCATCATGCAAACTAAAACTTTCGATTCATGATATATCCTCCAGTATTGAGCACTGCTTCTAATCTTTCTTTCTCCTTTATTTGATTTTATTATTCTGAATATTCTTCTCAAATGGTTCTTCAATTCAGGTCTGTTTTTTATACTGTTTCCAATCCAGCAATACTGAAGTTTATGGTTGAAGTTTGCTGGGGTCCTATGCTTGCTGCATTTAGTGTAACACTAGACCAGAGTGATGACAAGACTGCAACCTCTCTGTGCTTGAAAGGCTTCCGATTTGCAGTCCACGTTACATCAATTATGGGTATGCAGACACAGAGAGATGCTTTTGTCACCACCGTTGCTAAATTTACTTATCTCCATTGTGCTGCAGATATGAAACAAAAGAATGTTGACACTGTGAAAGTAATTTTCTGTTTCCTTTTTATTACCATGTGTGTTCTAAATTTTCCAATCGTTATATTTTTAAAGGGAAAAGGTGCAAATAGGCCATGTACTAACCAAAAAAGGTCAAATAAGCCCTTATTTAGGAAGTTCTGTCCGGCCGTCATCATTTCAGGTGGTTCCCGGTGGAATTTTTTGATGAAATGTTTTGAGCATCTTATTCATCAAGTCTGGTTTTCTCATACCAAATTTCAGCTAAAACTTCAATCGGGAAGGCATTCAAATGAATTCTTGAAGATAACTGCGCTTCTAACTGCGCAGTTATTTTCAAGAATTCATTTGAATGTCTTCCCGATTGAAGTTTTAGCTGAATTTTTGTATGACTAAACTAGACTTAATGAATAAGATGCTCAAAAAAATTCATCAAAAAATTCCACCGGGAACCACTCCAAATGGCGACGGCCGGACAACGCCTCCTAAATAAGGGCTTATTTGACCTTTTTAGGTTAGTACACGGGCCTATTTGCACCTTTTCCCATTTTTAAATGGCTGCTTATGAAATTCACAGAAACATTTGTCTCTGTTTACTTTGAAAAGTTTAGTTGCTTTCAGATAAAAATGGATACCTTTCCACAAAATGAAAAAGAGAAAAGCTCAAAAAAGGATTTTCGATTCCTCTCGGTTGGAAATTATTTAATTATTACGAGTTCATTTGAACTGAGCTTTGTCTTTAGTACAGAGCAATTTAGTCTGCTTTTAGTATATAAGCATGTAATGTTGAACTAAATCTCTCATGCAAAAGTAACATACCCTATGTTCTTCTTGATCAAGCAAAAGTAATTCAAAGTTATTATGCAGCTCTAACTAGAGCTTTTCTTTCTAGGCAATAATATCCATTGCCATTGAAGATGGAAATTTTCTTCAAGAAGCTTGGGAGCATATTTTAACATGTCTATCCAGATTTGAGCATTTGCAACTGTTGGGGGAGGGTGCACCATCTGATGCATCCTTTCTTACAACCACAACTGCTGAAACTGAAGAGAAAGCTTTGAAGTCGGTGGGCTTTCCTTCTTTGAAGAGAAAAGGAACTCTACAGAATCCAGCTGTTGCTGCTGTTGTTCGGGGAGGCTCATATGATAGTACTACAAGTGGAGTTAAATCTCCAGTCTTGGTTTCTCCAGAGCAAATGAACAACTTCATTTCAAACTTGAATCTACTTGATCAGATTGGGAGTTTTGAACTTAACCACATCTTTGCTCACAGCCAAAGATTAAACAGTGAAGCAATAGTGTCTTTTGTTAGAGCTCTTTGCAAAGTTTCTATGTCAGAGTTACAATCTCCAACAGATCCTCGTGTATTTAGTCTTACAAAGATTGTTGAAGTTGCGTAAGACTCTTCCCTTAAATAATTCAAATATTGCCTCTTTGGCTCTTAGCCTTCTTTCGTGATTCTCTGAAAGTTGATGGGATAAATAATTTGTAACTACTTTATCTTTTTTTCTTTTCTTTGTTTATGTGCAGGCACTATAATATGAACCGTATTAGATTAGTATGGTCTTGCATATGGAGCGTCCTTTCCGATTTCTTCGTTTCTGTTGGACTATCAGAAAATCTTTCTGTTGCAATATTTGTCATGGACTCACTGCGGCAACTTGCTATGAAATTCCTTGAACGAGAAGAGCTGGCAAACTACAATTTTCAAAATGAATTTTTGAGACCGTTTGTGACTGTTATGCAAAAAAGCAGCTCGTCTGAAATCAGGGAATTAATTGTTCGGTGTATCTCTCAAATGGTCCTTAGTCGTGTCAACAATGTAAAATCTGGATGGAAGAGTGTTTTTATGGTAATATGTTACTTCTAAAACTCATTGTTAATAAGATTTGGGAAAAGAGGCAAATAAGCCCTCGAACTAATAAAAAAAGTGCAAATAAACCCTTTTATAGGAAGCTTTGTCCGGCCGTCGCCATTTGAGGCGGTTCCTAATGGAATTTTTTGATGAATTTTTTTGAGCATCTTCTTCATTAAGTCTAGTTTACCCATACCAAATTTCAGCTAAAAGTTCAACTGGAAAGGCAGTCAAATAAATGTTTGAAGATAACTGATCAGTTAAACATCGCAGTATAATTCAAGAAAATCATTTGCCTGCCTTCCCATAAATGGCAATGGCCGGACAAAGCTTCCTATAAAAGGACTTATTTGCACTTTTTTGGTTAGTTCGAGGGCTTATTTGCACCTTTTCCCATAATTTTTGACATTTATATGTGCTGCTTGCATCTGTTACCCCTGGAAAACCTTGGTTTCATCAACCTCAATGCTCAATAAGTAAGAAAGATTCATCTAACATTCTTCTAAAAAATCTTTGAGAATGTTTCATTTCTTGTATAATGTCCTGTAGTTATTGGTGATACATGGCTGTGTTAGTTTTTTCTTTTGGATTGTTTCTTCACCATTTTTAAATATTTATCACTTCAGTTTACTGGGCGAGTACTTAAATGCATTTTGGCTGTTTTGTTTGTGCAGTTCGCTATTTTATATGACCTTCTTTCTATTTGATATTATTCATGGAGACTAATTTGTGAATATGTTGTCATAAAAGACCTATTTTTCCTATTCTTCATTCCTTGTTAATTGTTAGGTGATCATTCCACAATCAAACTTTGTCGATTAGGTGAGGTTTAGATTACCATTTCCTCTTAATGGAGTGTTTGCTAAAGATTAAAAAAAGTGCTTTTCAGCTTTTGGTTTAAAAAAGTTGAAATGAGTTTTTTCAAATGAAAGCTTCTGCTTAAATTAAACACTTAAAAGCTAAAAGCTGGAAGCAGGTAGAAGGGTGCTTTCAACTGCTTTTCACTTTTTCTATTACACAAAAAGCACTTAATTTACAAAACACTATCAACTTTTACTTTTTCAGAACTACTTTTTTCTCAAAAACTACCAACTTTTACTATTAAGTACTTTCTCCAAAATCACTTTAAAAAATCACTTTTTTGAAGTAGAAGCAATCACAAACACTCCCTAAGTCACTTTGAAACTTCAAATACCCATTCTTGTTTTTTGTTGTTTGATTTCTTCAAAACTTGGGTTCATGCTATGACTTGGGCAGATGTCTTTACTCTGGCAAATTACTTTTTCAGGTTTTTGCTGCGGCTGCGGCTGATGAAAGGAAGAACATAGTCTTACTGGCTTTTGAAACCATGGAAAAGATTGTACGAGAATATTTTCCATACATAACTGAGACCGAAACTGTAACTTTCACCGATTGTGTTAGATGCCTCATTGCATTCACAAATAGTAGATTTAACAGTGATGTTAGCCTCAACGCAATTGCATTTCTCCGTTTCTGTGCTGTCAAACTTGCAGACGGAGGACTTGTTTCTAATGAGATGAGTGAAGAAAAGGATAAGTCTATCCACGCAGCAAATGACAATACTTCAGATGTAAAATGCTTCACAAATGAAGATGATAACATGTATTTCTGGCACCCTCTGCTCACAGGTAGCTTTTTCTTGCGGGGACCGTAACCTTCAGCTAGTAAACAGATTCTCAAGTACCTGATGTCTTCCTTGTTTATATTCGGTATTGACTTTGCAGCCCAAGTTTTGGGCGATATTGGATTTTGCACCCTATTTTCAAAATCATTAATGTGTGCACCCCATCAGCCCAAAAATTGTGAAGGAGTGGGGGTGCAAAGTCAAATGATATTATAGTGAATGGGGTGCATACATTAATTATTTTGAAAATAGGGTACACAGTCAAATATCACCCAAAAAATGGGTGCGAAGTCAAATTCTCCCTTTTTTATTGTTAGGCATCATTGTGTGTGTCAATGATGTCAATAGCGGCGCTATAGCGGAGTAGCAGTGCAGGGCGCGGGCTGGGCGCTATGAGACTGCTTATAGCGGAGTGCGGGCTGGGTGCTATGAGATTGCTTATAGCGGAGCGGTTGGCAATAGCGGCTGTAGCGGGCGCTATATCAGGAAGAATAGTGGCTGTAGCAGGCGATATAGCACCGCTATCATTTACGGAGCTACTTAAGTGCTAGTTTTGAGGGGATTTAGGAGTACTTTTTACTTTTAGATGTTTTTGGAGTAAAAAATAACCACACTACACCCTCCAAAACACATGCAGGACAAAAAAAACATACTAAAATAACTCAAAACAGAAACCAAGATAAAATCTAACCTACATGATATATCTCTATGTTAAGGTAGTTAAAGGCATCCCAACAACAATGATTTTTTTAGAATGAGATATTAATGACTGCAAATTTATGAAGAATTATCTAGAACTTAATTTTTAATGTTAAGAGGTAAGGTACTTAAATAGCGGTAATTTAGTAAGTATAAATTTCATGATTTATCATTTATCATTTATTGGAGTAATATATTTGTGATTTATCATTTCTTGGAATTGATATGTGCATGACATGTAATTATATGCATACATATGATATGTGTTTTGAATGTATATTGTCTGAATAGCGGTCATCCTGCTATCCGCTATACCGGTATAGTGTTTTTGGGGTTGGCCGCTCCGCTCCACTCTCCGGGATGGACAACACTGGTGGGTGTGTACATAGATATAAATCTATGACCTGCTTTTGGAATATTTTGTCTTTATGAGTGTATCGAGTAAACCTCACAATGAAGTTTTCTGAGGTCACTACTATGTACGCTTTCAGGATTATCAGGCCTAACTTCAGATCCTCGGTCAGCTATCAGGAAGAGTGCTCTTGAGGTTCTCTTTAATATTTTAAAAGACCATGGCCATCTCTTCTCTCACTCATTTTGGGTTAAAGTTTTCAATTCTGTCATCTTCCCGATATTTAGTTCTGCACATGATAAAACTGAAGCAGACTTAAAAGATCATCAGTTTTCCCCAAGAGCTAGATCTTCACAACTTGATGGACAACTGTGGGACTCCGAGACTTCTGCTGTGGCAGCTCGATGCCTAGCTGATCTGTTCATTAGTTTCTTTGATTTGGGTAGGTCTCAGCTGCCTGGCATAGTGTCGATACTAGTGGGTTTCATAAGAAGTCCTGGTCAGGGTCCTGCAAGCACTGGTGTATCTTCACTAATGCATTTGGCTGGTGAATTGAGACACAGACTTTCAGAAGAGGAGTGGCAAGAGATCTTTCTTGCTTTGCAAGATGCTGCTGCTTCTTGCGTGCCCAATTTCTTAAAGCTTCTACAAACCATGGACAGCTTTGATATGCCTGATGGTAGCGTGTCCAATAATTATGTGGAAACATCATATGAAGTTGGGTCGATGAATGACGCTGAGGGTGACAACCTGCAAATGGTTGGGTATGTTGTTTCAAGAGTGAAGGGTCATATAGGAACACAACTACTCATCGTACAGGTATGTTATGTACTATTGTCTCTCTTTATGAATATAAATAGGACTGAAATCCTCGTGTTGCACCCCCTCCCTAAAAAATAAAAATTGGACTAAACCTAACATATTTAGGTCCATTGTTTTTGACTGAATAATACTCATTCACTCTTAAAAGAAGAATTAGTAACTTGTTATTCTTTTTCCAGACTGTGTCTTGCCGTAACCTCTTTTTACTATATGCGTCTGAGCAAATGCTTTGTAACATTTTGTAGCTGGGTCCACTGTTTATTTGAACACATTGTTGCCTCCCACATCAAACCTCTCACTCTTTCCTTTTTATTTTGTTGATCTCAGTTGTGTAATCTTATGATATCACTAATCATGCTTCCCTTTGTTAGGAAACTCTTGGGCATCTTTTTATATATAAATAAAGTATGTGAGTTGAGTGTGCTGAGAATATGCTGTTCTGTATTTTTTTTTTGTCAATTTGCAGGTAGCTACTGATCTTTGTAAGTTGCATCAGCAGTCACTAAGTGCTAAGACTGTAACGATCCTTCTTGGGATCTATTCATCTATTACTTCTCATGCTCACCAGTTAAATTCTGATGGAGTCCTTAAAGTGAAGCTGAAGAGAGCCTGCTCAATGCTCGAGATCACAGAACCACCATTATTGCACTTTGAAAATGAATCGTACCAGAATTACATCAACTTTTTGCATGATTTGCTTGTTAGTGATCCAATATTGGGAAAAGAGAAGGATCTAGAACCTGAACTTGTGTCTATATGCGAGAGAGTCCTGCGTGTATACTTGGGTTGTGCCGGTGTACACCAGCAACAACCAGTCGTCAACAAGCAGCAGCAGCTGAAGCTGCACTGGATTCTTCCCCTAGGCTCAGCCAGGAAGGAAGAACTAGCTGCCAGGACTCCCTTAGTTCTTTCTGTATTACATATATTGAGTGCTTTTGAAGGTGAGAGTTTCAAAAAGTATGCATCACAGCTGTTTCCGTTACTGGTTGATCTTGTCCGGAGTGAGCATAGTTCTGGAGAAGTTCAGCAACTTCTAAGTGGCGTCTTCCGGTCATGCATAGGCCCATTAATAGTGAAGATGTGAAATTTTCATTTTTGTAAATTATTATCACTTAGCCTGAGGGTGAGGAACATCTTTATATAGAATACTGAAGTTTTGTTTATTGATGTTAGGCCTCATAATCTTGCTATCTATTTACCAAAAAGAAAATAACAATCACTTCTCAGTTCTCAGAATAATCTTGCTATCTATTTACCAAAAAGAAAATAACAATCACTTCTCAGTTCTCAGAATAAACATCAGTTAACGACCTCTTTAAACAAAAATGTTCCGTATCTTTTTTATTTCACGTTTACATGCACTTGCAAATTGCAATGGTTTGAGCTTAAGTGAAGAATTGTCCTTTGTTTGAGGAAGTTGTATTTTTGTTGTTGAAGAAAATCAATTCAATTCGCATTCATTGAATCAAAGTTCAGTACACCAACAATACCATCACAAGGAAAAGACAGTCAAATTTGGCAATTACACAAAGAACCCGATAGCGCTATCAGCCCAGATCATCCACGAGAGAATATGAGACTTGTGAATTTATAACCCATATCTCTAATATCTCTTGATTTGTAGAATGGCTCAACTTTAATTATATGTATAATTGACAAAAATGATGAGTCAGAATTAACAACTCCAAATTCGTATTCTTTTAAAAAAAACTCAAACCTAGAGATGCATACAAGTTTATATGTTATTATTTTAAATTACATTTCAATTACACTTAAAGTTATTACACAATCTTCATTACGTTTTCTTTTTGAAAGAATTCTTCATTAGGATAAAAAACTTAACTATGACATTTATTTGTAGAGTTTTGGTGAGAATTTCTTCTAAAATGAGAACCCTTTTTAAAATGAGAAATTTTATTCAATGGATATGACCCCATTTGATTGCATTTTTAGAATCAATGGATAATAATGACAAGATAACATTTTTGTAATTATTTAGCATTAATTGCAAAAAGGCCCCATTTGAATTTGGGTAATTATGCATATGACCCCATGTAAATCATCATCAATGATTACAATAAATGAAAGGATGAGATGAAAAGTTCTCATTTTAGAAGGGGTTCTCACTAGAACTCTCCCCTATCTCATTTTAGAATGATCCTGCGGTTGCCTCTATTAGAGGGATTTTTGGGTGAAATTTTTAAAGAATTTTTGTGAGCATATTCTTTATGAATGTCCACAAGATTTCAGCTTAAAATTCAATTAGAGAGTCAGTTAAAATATAGTTCTAAAAAATGTAGCGCTTTATTTTCCTAATTGAATTTTAAGTAGAAATTTTATGGACATAATCTATATTTAATGAAGAGCATGCTCAAAACATTTTATCAAAAAAGTCTACATGGGAACACCTCAAATGGAGGTGGCTGCACGCATACAATGTCAAGCCGGTCTGATAGGATCATTGTCCTATATGATATACTCCCTTTATTTCATTCAAAGTTTCTTATTTTTCTTTTATGAATGTTTTGGCTAATGATTCTCATTTTCTATTTTAGGAAATAATTAACACTCTTAAATTATAATTTAATCATTAAATATTAAAAATAATACATCTATAACATCATATTTACCATCAACAACTCATTATATTATATACCCATCAAAACTATTTCTCAAAATATACTCCAATGTGTATATTTAATTATTATCTAAATAATCATGTCATTTTACATTGAGAACTCTTGAACAATATTTGTGAGCACATATTACAATATTTATCTTAAGTAGGGATAAGTGCACTATATAATATTATGAGTTCAATAGGTGTACACAAAATTTATATACGCTTTGACACAGGTTTGTACACGAAAAATTTCTTTTACCAACTGCATGTGCAATTAAGGGTGTATACATTATCTATGTGCACGTACAATTTCATACAAATCTTTGTCATATAAATTTGGTGTACAAATGTGATTTTGTTTGTGTTACTTCGTATTAAACGAACAAGATGAAAATACAAGATGTAAGAACTCAGAAGCTGGGAGATAATCTAATTACATACAACAAGCGGTGTTTCAATCCGATTCTTAAAACTGTTCATTCAAAAAGCAGAAGTGGAAGTTAGAGTGTTTGGATAAAAGTGTAAAAGTGATTCTGATACTCTAATTTAGTACTATAATCAATTTTTTTTAAGTTGGGAGAGACTATTTTGGGTCTGTTTGCAACAGCTTCTGCTTTTAAAAAAGTGTTTTTTTTTTAATGAAATGGGGAGAAGTTATTAAACAAAAGTTGATAGTGTTTAGGAAAAAAGTGATTTTGAAAAGTAAAAGTGGGTAGTGTTTGGTAAAATAAGTGCTTTTGTGTAATAGAAAAAGTAAAAGCACTTTTGACGCGGAAGCCGAGAAAAATAAAAGTTGTAGTGTTTGGGAAAATAAGTGTTTTTTTAAAGCCAAAAACTGATAAGTGCTTTTTTAAAAGCAGTTGAAAACCAATCTTGTAAACTAATTTTTGACAGTGCTTCTAATTCTGAGTTCCAAACTCTTACACTGTAGTAGGAGTATAGTCCTTGTGATCATCCAGTGCAGCAGCAGGGAACCAGATGAATCGTGGAAAGCATTCTCAGTGTCGTCTTCCCCTCCGTCGAAATGATTTTGCTCAATTCTACTTTCTCCGTCTGCTCTTGGTGCTTTCGCTGATCTGCACGGTGGCAGCTAGTGGATATTCTCCGGCTGCGGAAGCTGAAATCATATCGAGGTTCCAGGAGTACCTCCGAATCGACACAGCCCAGCCGAATCCTCGCTACAGAGAGGCGGCGGATTTCATCATCTCCCAGGCCAACTCCCTGTCCCTCGAATCTCAGACCATTGAATTCGTCAAGGGAAAGCCTGTTGTCCTCCTCAAATGGCCTGGGAAGGACCCGAACATCCCCTCTGTCCTTCTCAATTCCCACACTGACGTTGTCCCTTCCGAGCCTCACAAATGGTCCTTCCCTCCTCTTGGCGCCCAACTTGATCTCGCCACCGGAAATATCTATGCCAGGGGCTCCCAGGACATGAAGTGCGTTGGTCTCCAGTACCTGGAAGCTATTCGCAGCCTCAAGGCCTCTGGGTTCCGGCCAACCCGTTCCGTGTACCTTTCCTTTGTCCCTGATGAGGAAATTGGTGGCCACGACGGTGCCGAGAAATTTGTAAATTCCGATATCTTTCAGGAGATGAACGTTGGGGTTGTGCTGGACGAGGGATTGGCTTCCCCCACGGATAACTACCGTGTCTTCTATGGTGAGAGGTCTCCTTGGTGGCTGGTTATCAAGGCAGTTGGTGCCCCTGGACACGGTGCCAAGCTCTATGATAATACTGCTATGGAGAATCTTTTTAAGAGTATTGAAAGCATAAGGAGGTTCAGGGCTTCTCAGTTTGACTTGGTCAAGGCTGGCATGAAGGCTGAAGGAGAGGTTATTTCTGTCAATATGGTGTTCTTGAAAGCTGGCACCCCTTCCCCCACTGTAAGTCCTCACTGGCCTTTGCATCAGCAGGAAGCCGCCCCGATTTTTGAAACTTACTTAGGCATCTTCTGTTTATTTTGGTGTCATATAGCTTTTTGTATCTCCATGAGTCATCTAGAAACAGGTCTCTCCCTGCTTTAGTACAGGGGTAAGGCCGCGTACATCCGACCCCCTTACCCAACGTAGGTGGGGAGCCTTTGCGACACTGGGGTGATGATGACGATACCTTTTTCTGTATCTGCTCATCTACTGGGTGGTTGTCAGGTGTTGCAGTATACGTAAATTTTAATGGATCCATGTAGAATGTAAGCCCTGCTCAAGTTTCATGTACTGTTTCCTCAGATGCGCAGAACAATTCCAAGTCCTAAGAGGCTGACTTTGTTCAGTTTGTCTATGCAGTTGTTCTCTAGTTATGATCTTCTAATTTTCTTTTGTTTTATTTCCCTCACAGAGCTCGATATCAATTATATATGGGGATTTTAGAATTTTTATTTGGAAAAGGCATCCATCAATTGGCCTAATTTGCGACTGCCACACCATTAGTTCATTGTTTCACATGATGGTTCTGAAGATAACCAAGTCCACAGCATACTAGGCACCCATACATTTATTGCTGATTTTGTGGTTTATTTTTTCTTCTCAGGGTTTTGTCATGAACTTACAGCCATCCGAAGCCGAAGCAGGTTTTGATGTTCGAGTTCCACCAACTGCTGATCAAGCCTCATTGGAGAGACGAATTTCAGAGGAATGGGCACCTGCTTCACGCAACATGACCTTTGAGGTAACATAGAAGTTAGGTAACATTATCAATGCACACCCTTGAGGTGCGCACTGGTAATGTTTGAAGTTCAGAAGTTGTAGGCCTTCTTTCACATATGGTTTATTGTACTTTGTTTGCTATGTTGGAATAAAATTTGAATTGAATAGTGATTCAGTTACCACCCTCCTGTTTGTGTATCTCGTTTCAACCAGTGGGAGCCTTAGGTTTACTGATACATGCCATAACCCAATTTTCTTATACTGCTTAAAACTCTGTTATCCATACGCTTTAGTGAAAAGTCGTGCATCAGTGTCATACAGATGAAGAAAATAATGCTTTCAAAAATTGCAATTCTTCTTATCATTGTTGTAATTTTGACAGTTCAAGGTGAAGACATCCATACATGATAAGTTTGGGAAACCAGCACTCACAGCTACAGACAGTTCTAATGTTTGGTGGGCCTTATTAGAGGAAGCTGTCAAGGATGCAAATGAGAAACTGGGAAAGCCAGAAATATTTCCTGCCTCTACAGATGCACGCTGCTTTAGAGATCGTGGCATTCCAGCCATTGGATTTTCTCCCATGGCAAATACTCCTATTCTCCTTCACGACCACAATGAGGTTGGCACTTTAGCTTCCATATTCTCTTTCACTTGACACGCTTATTAGTTATTAGGAAGAGTAGAAATCAAATATTAGAGTGAAGTTAAATATTAATGAAAAGGGCCCCCTCTGAAATCCTTTGATTAAACATCTCAAAGTGGAGTGCAAAATCAAATATTGGGGTAAATCACTAATTCATGGGTGAGAAATCTTACTAAAAGAACCAGTTGAAAACTACAAATGTCTTTGGCCTGGCCCTCTCCCTAAGATTAATAATGAAGTATTATCTATATGTAATACTAGTAAATAAATATGATAAATTTTTATATATGCATGTATCATAAAATTAAACATAATCCTGTAGTATAGTATACATAAAGAAAAAAGTACATGTGGAGTAATTAGATACAACAACAACATCCAAGCCTTAATCCCAAATGTGGAGTAATTAGATAAAAGAGTTAAATTATAAACATTTTTATAAATTTCAAATCATGTCATGTTTAGCAACACAAAATGACTCAGATATTAAGTTAATAACTAACATTATTCAATGAGCAATTAGTTGTATTACATTTTTTCTTATTTAATTCGCCCTCATCCCTCAATGATGCATATTAAATTATTAATGGATTTATTCTTCATTAGCGTACTTGATTTCTGTATTTTAATCAGATAGTAATATGCCTAGTGAAGCGAGGGTTGACTTAGGTCTGGGCTTGATCCTGTCTTTATAGTGCAGGGCCTGGAACTTCCATTTTAGAGGCTGAGCCCTAAATAGGTAAGGCTGGGCCCTTGGTAACCACTACCGGATGGCTGCTTCATATGACATGCCTGGGCTGTTTCCATTGGGTCAGTTCTTATCAGTCAAACCACTAGTTCTAATGAATTTGTTTGGACTGGGTCTAGGACTCTAGGCAAACCCCACCCGGCTACCCTTATTTCTTTTTTAGTGGAACTACTAGCCTTCACATGAGAGAAATAAACACTCAATTTGACTAGCGTATTTTATTTTCTGGGGTTTTCTTCATTTGTAATTTGTGGTGTATTTTGTTATTCTTCAGTTTTTGAACAAGGATGAATATTTGAAAGGCATTGGTGTTTACAAGTCAATAATCAAAGCTTATGCTTCTTTTGTTGAGCACATGCGAGATGATATATCCAAAGCAGAGTTATGAGGGATACAGCTTGCCTCCGTCCTATGTACAGGATTTCATTAAAGTGCGTCCCAAGTGGAAAAGTGGGCATATGTAGCAACAAATGACTGACTGATTGACTGTTCGGTTACTACTTCCACTTGCACTTTTTCAACACCTTTCCATTTGATTCCAATCACAGAATAGACAAGTCACTACTTGCCATCCTTTTGTTGTAAACTATACATAAAAAAACTGCGATATGTTTGGATTGACATCCATTTTTTTGTGTGTCCAAAAAGCGCATAGTACCTCTGGGGCCTACAAGAGAATGAGTGAAAGTGGCAATGAACTTAACTATTGGTCCGTTCTTTGGCTAAACTTATGCTGTGTGTACTTTTTTATACTTATCTTAATGGGACTGGATGGATGTTTCAAGCCCCTTGTTCCTCTTGGATATCATAATCCCAAATCAGGCTTAAGAAGAAATGTAAATGAGTTGCTTTGAATGACGTGAAAGCTAAGTTATTATCATGAGACTGGCTGTTGAATATCCGATAGCTTCAACGTCTTCGGATCCTGCTTATTACTGCATGAGTCTCATATTCATTCCCAGAATCCGGTAGTGGAAGGGAAGTAATCGGAAATGCTACTTAAAGAGTCACGCCCTGGGAATTTGTTATAATCCGCCCACATCTGCCCTGCAGCAGCAGGAGAGATAAATGACATGAAAGAAGTCAAGTACCTGGCTGGCCCCTGCAGTAGGGCATACGTATTTGCCTTGATCTTCTGACCATTAAGGCTTCATTAAGTTGTCTTTGTGTAAACACGTTTCATTTGTGTATTGAATAAACACTTCGAGTTGGGTAAAATAACTGAATTTGACTGAATAGACATTGAAAACAATGCTGTAACATAAAAGGGGAGATGCATAGTTATGAGGGCCATGGTGGTGAAAACACTAGAGTTATGTGCAAAATGTTGTGTAAAAGTTAGTAAGAAATATTCTGGCAGTCGGGAGGATTAAAATCTAGAAATATCGAACATAGTTTGTTGGATGTAATGAACGGCTCAGATAAAGATATACTACGTATTTGGTATATGAATAGGAACGGTTCAAAATTTTGAGAATATGAACTCACACATTTAGAAAGACACTGAGCCGCTTTGGGGAAAGCTATGGCATATTACAACAAAGTCTTGAGCTAATCACAATACCTAGTGTCGCTTTTATAGGTGAGATAGAAACGATGGAAATGTCGAGTCTTTGCTTTTATAAGGAATTATATGACTCCAACAATATATGAATAGAAAGACACTTAGTTACTCCTTATACCTATCCTTATACTCACGCTGAGAGAGGTCATTTTTTATCTGTGAATCCTGTTCACAGACAAAACAGACATGATTTTGCATGTGAACATTTTTATAGACAAAAACATGTTTGTTTTTCTGTGAACAAAATTCACAGACAAAAAAAACAATTTATCGTAGAGGTGAGTATATGGGTGAGTACAAATAGCAATGTTGATATGACTATGGAGTATGTTTGTGATGCATATGGCTTCATTGTGGCCGCTTATTTTTAGTGAATTAAAAACTATCAACTTTATAAAAAGTGAGTAGATACAATGAAGTCAACTAAAGTTATATGACTATATCGGATTCATATAGAACTCCGTAAATATTTTGATTTTATAGGCGGAACAAGTCTTTGATTCGTTGATACAAAGCAATGTGGCAAGATGTGAATCGAGCAGTTCATAACAATCAAGTAGGTTATTGAAAATCAAACATCACACTGTGTAACATTAAATGTGACATTTATTTTTAACATTAAGTTAGAAATCACGCACAAAAAATTAGCAAAGGGGAATAACGTAACACGTCATTCTTCATATGAATATATGATCTTCTGTTGACTTCATTACATCACGTGATGTAATGAAGCGTGTTGAAGTTTCAAAGCGTGATGTAATCAAGCTTTGGAAAAAATTACCATGAGATTCATTCAATTACAGAGGCTCAGGTTGATAAAGCTTTGGAAAAAATTACCATGAGATTCATTCAATTACATGTTAAAATGTAAATTTTATTTTCACAGCTTTGATTCAAAAACGCCATGAAGTTTCAAAATCTCGAATTTGCTCGAGGGTGGCCAGATCTCGCTTCCGGTTAGAAATAAATCATTTGGTGGTCTAGTTCATAGAGCACCATATGTAAGATTCCGTCCATGATTTACCCGCAAGATCAAGCTGATAAGCATAAGAAATGTAGTCAAGGGGTCACCTGGGCATCACAATGAGGGACTTCCAGTTTTGAAGAGTAGGGTTTGCATGGAAGGAAACGTGTCGACTGGTTTCACATTGTTGAACATCCGAGGATTTCTGCTGATCAGAATCGGCCGGTTTCCTATGATTGTAAATTGTATGATGACCAGCTTTCCTAATGTTTTATGCCTTGGTAATGTACTAATACTGGCCATGGCCTTGTTGATCTCAGCAAACAAGCGTCCTTGACCCCAATCAAGGCAGAAACAGACATTTTGATATCTGACTCTAGAATCTTGATCCTTAATGTCAACGTTGTGACACTGTTTTCATAGTTTCTGTGATGCTAGGCTTGGTATATCATCATTGAACATAGTAAACAAAGATCCTCTTCACAAACATAGCATTGCAATTTGCAACTCAAATTACAGAAGCATAATAAATAAATTATTAAAGATGGATCAGTTAACTAATTAAGCAACTATACAAGTTAAATAAGCCAGAAATAAATTACAAACTGAATCTATACTACTCAAAAAGCTAAAGAAAACCTGTCAACTACAGTAACCGACCAAATTCAAGGCATACCACACGCAAAAAAACATAAGGATATGTACTTGTCAATCTAATCTCTCAAGGATAAAGGGAAAACTTAAAAATAAAAATGAAGGGAAAATTGGCAGGGGGCTTCTGTTATGGAGCTGTAATCTGGCTGGGAGACAAAAGGATGCATGTGTTCTAAAAAACTCAGACGAGAACCTTCCCCGGCCCTCCCACAGTAGTGCGCCCGTCACTGCTTGTAAACTCGCAATTGATGCCCGAGGAGAATGTACTGCACCTTCCCTCCCCATAACCAGTAATCCAGATGATAAAAGCAAGCAGAAACCGATCAAGCTGCCAGCAGCACATGGTATAGCAGGGCAAGGGCAGGTCCCTCCATTTGGCCTCTCCACTCTCAGATCAAAACAGTAGCAACTTCTGCTGGAGTTACTCCGAAGCCCACAAGGTTAACAGAAACCTCTTCAAAGGCATATATCGTTATGACACTCTGTCATGGTGTCGAGCAAGATTATCCTCTTCAATGCGCTGCAACAACTCCTCGTACACTTTCAAGCAGCTTGCAGTAAATCTCTCCATGGCCTCAAAGATATGCTGAAGACCAGCCTGAAGGCTACTGTTTTTGCTTGTTTCGCTCTGGTAAATGGCACGCGTGTTCAATGAGAGGGTATTTTCCTCTGCTGATACTAATATCCTTTTTTCTAATGCCTGCATCTCTCTATGTATCTTCTGATCCTCCCTTTCAAGGTTCTTTATCTTTTTTTCCATTTTCTTGTTGTCCATCATTCTATTACGCATTTGTAGCTTATCTTTTTCCCACAGGTGAAGGATGTTTGTGGCAAAATCTCGCATGCTGTCTATGACTTCTTGCTCAGAAACCCTTTCAAATGATTGTGCCCAGTGATTACAGATAACGAACACAGGGGGAGCACCTATCCTACCAGGAGAGAATGGAACTGGTCCATCATCTGTTTCTTCAGGAACGTAAAGGAGACATTTCATAAGCCAATTATTCAGCGCTCTGATATAACCTCTTTGGGCACTTACCCAACAAGAGAATCTTAAAGTCCAGTTAAGAAGATCGTGCTCAAGGTGCAAAGTGGCTTCAAGATGAGCATCACTAAACTGTTTGTTAAGTGCAATGGAATCTAATCGTTTTGCTTCCATAATCGCATGGTACTGAATTTGATGGCACTCAAGCATGGATTTCCACATTCTCGATAACCTATAGATTTTGAAAATATTACACAACCATTAAAATGCATAAGGGAATAAATAACTTTATAAACTCGGCCTACATGCCTACATACAATAGATTATAAATCCCGTTGTACAAAACTTTAACCTAACCTAATGTACATGCCCGTGTGTATGAGACCATGAGAGTGAATGAGACCATGGCCAATAACCATGTTACTTCAAATGAATAAAATATAGACTCCCCAATTAGATCTGAACACAGAACACGAGCTAAAAAACATAATGGCGGTATGAAAACTACATACCCATGTATGAAGTCATTCAATTGTGGCCACAATTCTTCATCCCTCAATTTACTTATCTTCTCAGAAATCTTATCAACAATTTGAATTGCAATTCTGATTTTTGTTGAAAGGCTCCTAACTAAAGTTCTTGTGACATCAACTTTTTGAGTCTCGGCACCCTTTTCACTTAGTTGCTTCAACCTTAAACTTTTCCTCTCATGAAGGACCCTCATTTTCTCCTCAACCTGCAAACAGGAGGTTCCTTTAGTATGTAGTGAAAAGAGGAAGAATAGAATGACAGCAAAAAACGTGATATGCATGCAGCATTTGAGCATCCAGCAACAGCAGCAACAACCAATCCTTAATCCCAAATCACTGGGGTCAATGACATGAACCAACACAAAATATCCCACGGTCATTCACTTAAGTCCCAGGGAATGCCCCCACCTCCACCATCAAGAAATCCGCATTGCAGTTCATGTTAATACACAGGATATTGACTGAATTTTTGCTGGTCATCAACACTCCTACTTTTTTGAGCTTGGGATCAACAATGAGCCCGAGGTAAAATTACAAGCTAAAAACTGCTCCATTAGAATGAACCCAAAGAACCAATGATCACATTTCACAAACTACTGCCACATTAAGTTTTTTTATTTTGAAAAAAAAAACCATGGGAACAAACTACGGACTATTAATCAAACTAGGATCTGTGAATGGAAGATTTTAAGAATATTTACATGCAGTATGAAATAACATTAATTAGGTAAAGTACCTTGACTTCTTCATAGAGTTTCTTCTCCCAAAGATAAAGCTTTTGCAAGGTAGAAGAAAGACTTCTGGGCCTTAAAGAACTCACTTCTCCTTCTACATCTAATAAAGCAGGATCAGAGATATCACCCTCTGCGCCATCTGAAGTAGAAGGTTTTGACGATAACACGGACAAGGAAGGAGTAAACGCATGCAACATCTTGTAAGAAGCTGTCCCAAAATACGCCCGTCAATTAAAAAGACAACATTAGAAACATTTAAAATTACCAGGAACATAGAACTAACAAATTGTACAGTTCACTGAAATTAATCGCAGGCGAGAGAAGTTTTTTTAAAAATAAAGATGAGAGCTTTCGTGAAGTGACATAAAGAATCAGAAACTCAGCAGATTAATACTCCGTAAGACATAAACAAAAAAGGAAATATCTCTACCTTGATAGGCAGCGTGTTTGCGGTTGTAGGGAAGCTTTCCAACCTCAAGAATCTTCGACATTTCGCTGCCAGATTCAGATGCTCGTTGGAATTGAACCTGAATCTCACTCATGACATCGGAGTCTCCATTGAATCTGCCACGAGCCTTGAACCCTTCCCTTGCACTGTCGCGATTCTCTGATGTCCCTTCCTCCTTAACCACTTTCTTATCCACCACATGAACCTCATATTCAACCGGATCAGATAAGTTCGGTCTAGCTCCCCTGTAAACCGACTCCGAGTCACTTGGCTTGTCATTCTTCTTCTTTGAGGAGGCGGCAGCCTTCTCGGATTTGTTTCCGCCGGGCCTTCTACCGCCACCACCACCCATGAAATTGTGATCTACTTGGACTTTCTTCACAACCTCATGCTCAGAATCATCATCTTCTTCTAATTCGGGAATCCCCTCCTCTTCCCTGACATCCTTAGAATTCCTGCTTGGCGAGAACGGACGGTGGAAATTATCAAAACTCTCAAAAGGGTTCAAAAAATCCCAAGCTGAGCCAGTCGGGGGAGGTGGAGGGGGTGGAGCTTGCTTGGAAGTGGATGGCGCAGATGATGGCCCCCACGCCTGGTAACCCGGCTGAGATGTGGAACTGGAGCTTCGCCCTGGCTGCGAGGAACCAAAGAAACTAGCAGCAGCAGTAGTAGCATAACTGAAGAAAGACTGGTTGGGGCTGGAATTGGGATTGGGATTGGGGTTAGGGTTGTAATAGGGGTAGTAGGAAGAAGAGAGATCATCCATACGCACAGTATCGGCACTCATCGGCCGTTGCTGATAGGTCACCGACGGCGTGGACTGGTTCCGCATGAAATTCATGTGCGTAAACGTGCCGGAAGTCGAAGCTTGAGGGGAATGAGTATAGGGTGTGCTCGGATCCTCATAGGAATGACCCGGCGGGGGGGATTCCGATTGGTGGTGTAAAGAGGGCGAGTGGGAGGAATCTTCGTCCTCATCTGAATCGGAGTGGATGCAAAGGTGTGACCCGGAGCTGGAGTGGTGGTGATAAACATCGGCGGCGTGTTGTTTCTTGCCGGCTTTGTGAACCGGGGAGGTGGGTCCGTCGTCGTCGTCGTCGGCAGCTGCAGGGGAGGAATGATCGTCGAGATCCAGACTGAAGAGACGGTGCAGAGAGGCGCCGACAGACTGAAGAGAGTGAACATAAGCTACGTGAGCCTCGGCCATGGCGAAGCGCTGGTGGATGGTCTCGTCGAGAAAGGAGCACCGGTCCCGGCAAAGGGACACCGCCGGCAAGTCATCGAGCTTCGAGCTGGTGCAACCCATATCTTTTCTTTCACTATAGTAAATAAATAATCATCATAATAAGAGAGAATAATAATTCAGTAGCAATTTTGAATTTTTACTCCCGCAGAGAACTCCAGAATCTGGAAAATGAAAGAAAATATTCCGTTGACGAGAAGAGAGGAGGAGATTGGCAAAACGGAAATTAGGACGGAATGAAAGACGCGTGCGGTCGATTTATTTTACTCTTCGGTCAAATCAAATTCCTTAGATATTCCTTTCATACGGTTAAGGAGTCTATTTCATAATTAATTAATTAATCAAACACCTAAATTTTAATTTTGTAAACTCAACAGTGTGACAATCAAAATCAGTAATAACGCTTAAACGCATTTTTTCACAATTCAGTAAATTTAAAATATTCAAGTATTGCAGCCAAAAATTTGTCAATTTTAAGTGATTCGGCGTCAAACATCTTTGTAGTTCGATGATATCATTGTAACATTCCTAAGAAGAAAATCACAAGTTCGAAAAACGTCTCAATCAAGAATATTGATATTTAATATAACAGATACTAAAAAAATACAACAAGGCTTAAGGTACACATTTTTGTACACACACTTGCACACTCGTGTGTGTGAAGTGTTTTGTTTTGTCTGTATACAGATACAACTCATTTCACAGACACTTCAAATGTGTTGTGTCTGTATACAGACAAAAAAAACACTTCACAGACACGAGTGTGTAAGTGAGTGTACAAAAAATGTGTAACAATAGTTATTTCCAAAAAATATATATTCAGCCGATTCAACTAATTTTCAGTATTACCAAACGGCTTCTAAAATATAATCACATATATCACATGCGTACAATTAGAGAATTTTCCTCCAAAAATATAACTCATTCAACTTTTATGCTATAAATTGGATAAAATAAGTCATATTTTAAATAAAACACAAATAATTTTATTTGTGTTATACAATTTCTCTATATTTTAGTCATATTTGAAACTATTTCTTAACACAATTATGAATCAACCTCTCTTGCATAATGTTAGGTCAAAATGGTCTCCACATGAAGTGACAAAGTATAGATAGAATTAATTTTAATAATTTTTTGCTTACTTTAAATGAAAATGACAAAATTTCGTTGACTGACTATGTAAAAATGATGAAGTATACATCAACTTTGCAAAATAAAAATGTTTTTTAAAGGAAAAGACTTATTTATTTTTAATAATGAGAGTAATAAGAGAGAAAACAAAACAATGTTCAAGACTACATTGAGGTGAGATATATGGAAATTTATTAGCTGATGAGGATCAGTCAAATTGAATTTTAAATTGAAGTCAGGTTTATGACAAAAAAAATTGTCAGGTTTGAATTCACACTATTAAAGCACTTTGAATTCAACGGAAAGTATGAATTGCAACCCTATATATGTCAAAAATACATACGGAGTATGTATTTTAAAGTGTCAATTCAAACTAAGGTTTATATTAAAGGTTGATATACTTTTTGAACTATTTTAACTTAAAAGTTTTAGCTTCAAATGGTGCTCTCAAAAATGAAAATTGTATGAGTTTACAAAAGCTAATTAGAGCGGAAGGAAGAATGAAATGAAATAGTTTCATAAAATAAACTACGAGCCTTTTGTAGCATTATTTTTCCTGGAAAAATTGCTTGCAAATTTAAAGTAAATAAATAATCCATTACTTTTCTTTTTGCTAGAGAAAGCTGGTTATCCAAAAGATCTACTAATTTGAGAAAAACGATTTACTAAATATAATTTTATAAATAATTTTAATGTCCTTAATAATAAATAAAAGTGGAATAAGTTGTAACTGATCAATGAAGAACCCTTACTGTGAAAATAATTTTATCTTTTTAAAAGAAATGAACCTTCAAGATTACAATTTTCTTTTTCATCACTCAACATAAACTCTAGAGTCAGCTAGTGGAAATAAGGAAAACAACCAAAACAACATTAAATTTGAACCAAAAGTAAATATAAGAACAAGATAATTAAAATAAATCCAAACTTGAAATAGCATCTTACAAACCCTAACCAAAAGATTACTTCACGGTGGCGGTTCTGGAGGAGAACAGACTGACAATAGTGGATCTTCTTACTCTCCTTTTTTCTTATTCATAACACTCTCTGCTACTGAGCAATCGAAAGTGCAGGAGAATCTGCCGTGTAGCCAAGTGTCGTACTGGTTAAAATGGACTCCATGATTTCTTCTTGCCCTGTTGATTGAGCTTTAAAGACGAACCTGCGAACAAAAACAAAGTTTGCACGATGCGCGAAGCTGAAATTCTCTACCCACACACGCCTAGAATGGTTGGCTGAAACTAAACCCTATGTGAGGGAAAGGCCACACAAACGAAGAGAACTTCCTCTCTCTACTTTAGAGTTCCCAAGAAAAATATCATCAAATTATATCTTTTAAATAAGAGTAAAAGCAATTGAACAATAGAAGTTTTGTATTTTTTCTCAAAATAATTGAAAATTCAAAATAACACTAGTTAACACTAGTTTTCAAAAAATATTGTTGCATAAGAGACCATTTGATAACACTAGAATTGTCTAAATTAATTAAAATTGGTTAAAATTAACGGTTGAATTGACATAATCTGGTTGATTACTGAAACATCATATTAAAAATGTGTTCTATTAATAAATTAAAGAAAAAATATTAGAAAAACAGTTAAAATGATAATAACTTTGGCTAGAAAAATAACTTCCACCTTGTTTATGTTTTATATTACGTACTTCAACTTGCGAAATAAAAAATCATATATCCGACAAAAAGAGTTAGCCGATAAGTCTGATAAGTTGAAAGTAAAGAATTTTGAGGATATGTTTGACACAATTAGTTGAAAAGATACTTTCATGAGTTCTTTAGTATTACATAATTGTTACGAGTAGCTTTTAGTGACTGGAAAGATATTAAAAGATAAGGACCGTTTGATTTAATTTTGTTTGGTATACAAGCTTTTGAGACAAACTAATGCTAAAAGCTACAAATATTTATAATATGTTACTAACGGTATCATTTAAGAAAAATCTTTTATTCTTTAAATAGTTGTTAAAAGTTGATAAGCATACCCACAACTAGGAGCTTTTACAGTTTTTTTTTTAAATACAGAAAATTCGGAGTAAAATGTTTGAATATGCCAAAATAGGACTTTCGTGTTTTTATTTTCAAAATAGGAGTAATTACTGTCAACTTTGAAAAATATTGTCATGTTTTTAAAGTCTAGTACTGCCAAAACATGACAATAATCAATCATCTTTTAAGAATAAAAACATGATAAATTCTATTTTGAAATATACAACATATTTGGTCTTATTTAAGACAATTTCCCCTTTAAATAGTACTCATGTAAAAGAGAATCTAAAGCAGTTAATTAATGGACGATAAAATTCAAATATTCTTATTTGATTCAATTGTTTATAATTGCTCCCTCCGTCCCACAATAATTGTTCCATTTTTCCTTTTTCATCCATCTCATTAAATTTAGAGAAAATGGTCAAATAGGTTCTCGAGCTTTCATAAAAAGATCAAATAAGTTCTTATATAGGAGGCTCTGTCCGGCCATCTCCATTTGGGGCGGTTCCCGGTGAAATTTTATGATGAAATTTTTATGGCATCTTATTCATTAAGTCTAGTTTACTCATACCAAATTTCAGCTAAAACTTCAATCGGAACGCATTCAAATTAATTCTTGAAGATAACTGCACATTTATTAAATTTATATACCATTTGATAGTATTTGTGTGCATCTAATTCATTTTTACTTTATCTATACCTTATCAATTGAGTAAAGAGTCAGTTTGGTCCTCGAAGTTGCATAAAAGGGGTCAAATAAGTCCTTATATAGAAGATTCTGTCCGGACGTGTCATTTGAGGCGATTCCCGATAGAATTTTTTGATAAAAATGTTTAAGCATCTTATTCATTAAGTCTAGTTTACTCATACCAAATTTAAGCTAAAAATTCAATCGGGAAGACATTCAAATAAATTTTTGAAAATAACTGCGCTTTTAACTGCAAAGGTAGCTTCAAGAATTCATTTGAATGTCTTCCCGTTTGAATTTTTATCTGAAATTTGGTATGAGTGAACTAGACTTAATGAATAAGATGCTCAAAAAATTTCATCAAAAAATTCCACCGGGAACCGCCCCAAATGGCGACGGATTGATAGAATCTCCTATATAAGGACTTATTTGACCCCTTTTATGCAATTTCGAGGACCTCTTTATCAATTCATTACCAATCACCTATATCCAATTTTCAGAAAAACCATAACACACTTATTTATGCCAAACTTTTAATGTTAGGGAGAGTGGGATAGTAATTAATTATTCACAAAGTATTTTGAAAATGGAATAGTGGGGATCTATGGTAGTAACTAGTAATATGATGATGATGATGGTAGTGGATAGAGAAACGATGGTGGAAAGCGAGTGAAGTAGGGGCAAAGGGAGAAAGACAGAGACGGAATCTTTGCCAGCCCGGAATTTGTACCTTGTGGACATCAAATAAATAAAAAATTAAATACATGTGTGGAGCGTCCAGTCAGCCAGTGTCAGTCTATGCGCGTTAACAAATCATCGTTATATTATTCTGGGACCTATTATTACCCCTATCATTTATTCCTCAAATCTTTTTCATTATTACCCACCATTTGTAATAACAGTAATAATTTCAGCACAGAAATAAAGTAAAGTAGTAGTATATCCTCTTGTTTTTACGTCTTTATTTTCATTCTATATGCCATAAAAGAGGATCTACGATTCCACACCTCTTTGCCTTTTCCCCCGTCTCAACTTATAACACATTTACATAGATTTTACTTACTTTTTAAGCACTTTTTGACTCGTTAAATTTGTATAGCACTAAGGTTGGTCTGATTTTTTGGGAAAAAGTTAAATAGACCATCGAATTTACATAAGGTCAAATAAGTTCAAATATAGGAATCTCTATCCGGTCGTCGCCATTTGGGTCATTTGGGGCAGTTTCCGGTGGAATTTTTTGATGAAATCTTTTTAGCATCTTATTCATTAAATCTAGTTAACTCATATCAAATTTCAGCTAACAATTCAATCGAGAATTGCGCAGTTATCTTTTAAGAATTCATTTGAATGCCTTTCCGATTGAAATATTAGCTGAAATTTGGTATGAGTAAACTAGACTTAATGAATACTCCCTCCGGTTTTTATTAAACTTCACACTTTGACTTCACACAAAATAAGAAAAGAAATTTGACTTTACTGTAGAGTATACTGTTGAGACACTGTTTGGCACTGTTGAGACACTGTTTGGCACTGTTGAGACACTGTTTGGCACTGTTTGGCACTGTTTTGATGTAGATTTCTTTGCCAAAAAAGGAAATAAGGAAGTGTGAAGTTTATTTTAGACCGTCCTAAAAAGGAAATTGTGAAGTTTAATAAAAACCGGAGGAAGTAAGATATTCAAAAGATTTCATCAAAAAATTCCACCGGGAACCGCCCCAAATGGCTACGGACGGACAGAGCATCCTATGTAAGAGCTTATTTGACTTTTTTATGTAAGTTCGGTCTATCTGACTCTTATCCTTTTTTATAACATTTTAGTCTTTTACCGGTTTCTAAATCTAAAAAATGATAAAAAAGATATAAAATGTTCGGAATTGTCTAATATATTCTCTATCTTTCATTCGTGATGATGACACAATGTGAAAGCTATGTACTCAAGTATATAGGACATGCTGTCATTATATTCACCTTTTTAGTCAAAAAACATAAAACCCCAATAATTTTAGTAAGCTCAAGTCTTTGAATCTCACTCTAACCGTGGGTAGCATATTTAACTTGAACAGTCTAGGTGAGATCTTAATCTAAAATAAAGGTTTTGTTTTTTGTTACTTCTATCTATTTTTATCTCCAAAAATAGGTTTATTTTCCAGTTAAGAAAATAATTATTTTTTATATTGTTCGTTTGTTTCTCTGTCCGCTAAAGATTTTTAAACACGATTAATACTCGTATAGTCGTATACTCTAAAATTATTCCAAATCTGTATTGTAGGAAAATATAATACGGAGTGTCTATACAAGACTAAATGGTTTTTACCTCTTCTATAAATGTATACTCGATATTTTTGAAAGTATAACATACGGAAAAATACAACAATCGTGACCTTTTACTGTCAAGTCCCATGTTTTTGAACTATTTTCGGTCTCAGACACACCAGATTAAACAAAACCAGATTTAAACAATTCAAATGAGATTTAAGCAAATCAGACTTGAACAGTTATAAAATACACAAAAACTAGACATTTAGTAGACCAGTTCAAATCAAACCAAATTAGATGGGACTTAAACAGACCAAACCAACCCAGGCCTAAACAAATCAGACTAGACAAGGCTAGACTAACAAATTTCAGTCTAAAAGAAAACATGGATAACTATCGTACTCATGTAGGTAGGTTTTTCCGAGTATTACTTTTTTGCATCAAAAAATAAACTCATCTAAAAAAACTCATGTACCATCATACCTGTTGCCCTGTTGGCAGTGGCGGACCCAGAAAAACAGAGTCACGGGGTCCCTATCTAAATGTAATACCAATTAATACTACCTCCGTCCCACTATGTTTGGGACAAAGGAGTGTGACATAACTTTTAAAAAAAAGTGGAATTGTGTTGTTGGTATTGAATTGATAAAGTGTGAATAAAATAAGAATGAATTGTAACCACCCAAATATTTCTAAATATGGTATGAGACAAACTTAATGGGACGGACGAAAAAGGTAAAACGGGACAAAGTTAGGGAGACGGGGGGAGTATAAAATTAAACAAATAACATGATAAACAAATAAGATGGTAAAAAAATGCAGCATCGATCTTAAAAGTAACATAAAATGGTAAACAAAATGTAGCATCTGAAAACCCTATTCCCAAAACACGATCACCACCAACTTCCCACTCACTCTTAAACAAATAACACGATAAACAAAATGCGGCATTTTTGGCAATAGTGTATTTGAACCATTAATGCTCATCAAACCAACTTGAAACAAATTTCGGCCAATTACCTTAAAAGGGAAATCATGATTCCAAGGGTGAAATGACCCTTTTTTAATGTAACTGCGACTTACATCGTCTTGAACATTAGGATGCAAATGAACATTTTTGCTCTCAATCTAGGATCAACTTCTAAAGGTTCAAAATCAACATGTTGTTTATGTAACTTATAAGTCAAATTAGTTTCACTTTCATCAGTTACTTGATACAATTCTTCTTTTACTAATGACAAATCATTTGAATTAACATCTTAACTACTCATGATACTCCAAATTCCTTTAAATTTTTGTACGCTATTGAAATATCTTTTCATCCTAAATCGTAAAATATTGAAAAAAACATTCATAAATACACAAATTTAATAATGAGAACATTCTCGTAATAGGACTAATTCACTCCTATTATGGATAAAATTCATAATTTAAAAATCAATGTTTTATTCCCAAAATAGGACTAAATTATTCATAATTTTGGAAAGTTTTAGTCAAGTTTTTCTTTTAATAGGACTAAATAAATCTCATTTGGGGATTAAAACATATTTCGTCCTATTTTTGAACTTTGTATAAGTTTTAGTAGGGGTGGGACTTGGAACCGTAAAACCGGAAAACCGATCCGAACCGAACCGAAATTTCCGGTTCGGTTCGGTTCCTATAGTTTTGGACTTGAGCTTTTTTCGGTTCGGTTCCTATAGTATTTCATCGGTTCGGTTCCGGTTCGGTTCCAGTTCGGTTCCGGTTCCTAGCCAGGAACCGAACTTCTTATACATTGTATGAGTAATCTTCATTTGAGGTGCTTCTGAGTGGAATTTTTTGATGAAATTTGGTGAGCGTGTTTTTTATGAAATAAAGATTTTGTCCACCAAATTTGAGCTTAAAATGTAATCGGGAAGTCAGTTAAATAAATATTGACAAATAGTACGCCAACATATATAAAAACGCAATGTTTTTCAATATTTTATTTAATTCACTTCCCGATTGAATGTTAAGCTGAAATTTGGTATATATCATCTATATTTCATGTAGAACATACTCACAAATTTTTATCAAAAAGTTCTACACGGAAGAACCTCAAATGGAGATGGCCAGACGGCGTTCCGGGCCATTCCGAGTAATTATTTGTCAAGAATATTTTCTTGCATAATATACCTTATATATTGTGAACCAGACCAATCCAAGTAATTATTTGAATACTTTAGTCCACTTTTATATTTATTTTTTGTTTGTGAATGTAAATGTATTGGAGTTCATCTAAAAAAGGAATTAATATTCTATTGATTACGTTGTTTATTACTACGTACATTTTACCTATTGTGCATTACTAGTAGAAGAATTTTATTTTGAGGTTGAACTACCAGCTATTAAATGTGTACTTTGGAGATATCAAACCTTTTTGCTCGACTGTTGATGCCTATTTTAAACCGAGATTTTTGTTATGTTGAAATTTAATGTTGCACTTGGATATATATATATATATATATATATATATATATATATATATATATATATATATATATATATATATATATATTTGAACATTGAGATATCATGCACGTATAATGTAATGGTCATAATTTAATGATTTAAAGTTTGAATTTTTTTATTTAACTGAAGGTAAAATGTGTTCATTTCAGGAAGATAATAAAATTTTATAAGGAACCGAAAAAAGGTAAGAACCGAACCGAATTTAAGTAGAACCGAACCGAATTTAACAACCATTTTTTTAACTAGAACCGAACCGAATTTAAACCCTACAATTTTTACACGGTTCCATCGAATTTTAACAAGAACCGAACCGATCCCAGGCCTAAGTTTTAGTCGTATATTAAGCAAATTCTATTTAATAATTTAATTTTAACATCCAAATAAATTTTAATAATTAATCCCAAAAAATGATTTATGCAAAGGTTAAAATTCAATAAAAGTAAAAAATGAACGAAGGAATAAGGCTGTGGATTGATTGGGAATTTCCTTCCATTGCGTGCAAAGTTTAAATCTAAATGAATTATGCAAAAAAAGACAAAAAGGGAGAGCAGCCTTGCGGAATCGAACTACACACCTCCGCGAAAAGAGAGGGATTCACCTCTCACATTCACCCGTTCCGTTGCTGAAGTTCATCAATTCATTGGGCGCTATTATTATTTTTATTCATTTCCGCATTAATTTTATTTAAAATATAAATAATCTATATATAGGTATTGTTGGAAGTCCACGGGGTCCCGGGACCCGTGGGACCCTTAGTGGGTCCGCCATTGCCTGTTGGGTTTAGACATTCATATGTTTTTCAATATTTTTATGATCAACTTTTAAATTGAATGTGTTAACAACTTAACATAGTCTAAACAGCGCGATGTTATTTATTTCTAGAAAACAACTCTCATATACAGGAACTTTATATGCGATTTTTATGTTTTAGATATAGATGTAACGATGCTTATCCTTTTGTATAGTTTTTCAAAATTTCATACTTATTTGGAACACGTAATTCCACATATCATGCCAAATAAATAAAGACGAGGACTAGTGTTGTATACTCCGTATATTTAGTCATTTCACTCATTTGAATATATGAAATTTTCAATATGAAGGGCTATTAAAGATAGATATAGAACATTTTAAGTCAAAAGGCCAGTGATGCATGTTTTGTTGGCTAGATAACCAGTTTGATAGATGATTCTCATTGCGAGTTAGAATGGCTTTTAACTGGAATGAAATTTTCTAATGTGATTTGATCCGATTAAGTTTAATCTTGTTTGATCTAAACTTTTTAACTGGAATGAAATTTTCTAATGTGATTTGATCCGATTAAGTTTAATCTTGTTTGATCTAAACTGATCAAGTCTGCTAGATGTCTATCCATGTGCATTTTATAATTGTTGAAATCTAATCAAGTCCGTTTAAGTCTGATCTAATATGATCTGGTAAGTCTGATCTAATTTGTTTAAATCTGCTCCGATTGTGACAAAAATAAGTCTAAGCAAAAACATTCTTAACCCCCGAGATGAATAGTTTTCTTACTACTCCGTATGTAAATTCTAAATACAGGGTATGAAATACCAGTTCATGCAAGTTGACATTTCCTAAATTGTTAAATGCGTAGATGTGTAATAAACAAAACTAATGAATTTGAATGTTTTCCCTAATTAAAGTGGTTAATACCAAGTGCAAAAATAATTAACTTTTCAGAATTTTGTGCCCTGCATGTTGGCCTTCAGGGGACCGGAAACCAGCCAGTCCTGTCCACCCCTATACTGACCACACAAAGTTGAGGATTGAATTCAATACAACATAACTGCAAACAGCAAACATATACACATACATAACACCCGAATTAAATATACACAGTTTTAAATTGACATCTCACTCCATGATACATCTACATCAGTTTTTCTATAGCACATGTGTTTGGACCTTTTTAGCTTGCATGCATGGCCCCGGGCCCTGGAGTTAACGATCAGGTAAACCGCTAGTGGCCTTCATGGGATTCGAACTAGCGACACCCAGTTGTGAATCGTTTGAAGCTAGTCAGCCACTACTTCCATTTCGTCATCGCTCTCATCAAGTTCATCATAATCGTGCATGTACATAAGATCATCAGATGAATCCCACTGGTCAAAACCCAGCTCCTCCCCACGACAAGCCACATGCAAGTATGGTCTGTTTCGGGCCAAGGCGTCCAGCATATCCTTGTTTCCACCTCCATTGACTCCCAACCATCTCAGTCTAGGGAAGTAAGGCTTCTTTAGCCACTGGAAGGACAGTTGAGTTATGCTGCCGCAGTGATAAAGGTCCAACAGGCGTAACCTACTTCCCTGCCACCCGTCATCCTCATCAAACTTCATTGAAGCTAACGTGATCACTGAGACATCTCCTATCAAAGGACAATGCCGCACCCTAAGCTCAAATATAGGGACCCGGCTCTTCACAATTGAAAGTATTCCGGCATCAGAGAAGTTGGGAATGTTTGACAAGTCTAGTTCTTTCAGGCCCTGGTTTGAAGACCCTTCGAAGAGAAAATAAATACATTTGTCCGTCAACCTCTTGCATCCTCGCAGAGACAGCGAGACAAGAGAACTCTGCACACCTTTTGATAAGTGGGAAATTCCCGTATCACTTATATCTGAGCCATCTATAAGCAAAACTTTCAGCTTTGAAAGTGAAGCAATGGATCTAAGCGCTTCATCCCCAAGATTTTTACACTCCCTTAGGTCAAGCACACTAAGGTTTGTGTTGGATGCCAATAGTGAAGCAACACAGTTCGTCAAAAGATTACACCACCTTAAACTTACCCCAGTCAGAGTTAAGGAAGTTGCGCCAATGTCATGAAACACAAGATCAGTCAACAGTGGTCCATGTGACACTCGAAACTTTAATAAATTAGCACATGAGTGTAAAACTGTCTTGAAGCCTGTATCTGTGACTTGACAGAAACCACCCAGACAGATACTTTCCATGCTTGAGCACCTGTCAGCCATGAGAAGGAATCCCAGATCATTAACTCTCCTGAAGTATGCAGGGAAAATGTCATGGCTTCTTATCAAGGAGAAGTGCTTTAGTCTTCCGTGTGGGTTTATCTGTTGAAGGCCTGCATTTGTAAGGTCGAACGCCACTCGTGGTTCCATGATTGGTGAATCTCGAAGGTCCAAATAGGTCAATGAATAGAGATTTCTAAATATTGTACTGATCATAGTATCAGTGATATAGTCCACTGAAAGGCTTAGCTTCTGTATTCCTGGCAACACAGGCGGTTGGATATGGTCAAGTGATTGCTGTGGAACCACGGGAGGATTAAGCAGTTCAATCAGCATGACTGATGAAATGTATCCAACTTCGAGTGAAGAAAGCGTGGCGGGGGCCAGAGCCCACACACGAGCAAAATCGTGACGCAAGAATATAGAAACATCAAACATCAGGACCAATGTCTACAAAAATAAAATGCCATGGTAAGAAATTCTGAAATTATAAAAAAAACCATCATATTCCTACATGCACACGAAACTGCTGCTCAGGACACCTAGATTGTGCCCGTGGAGGTAAATTCAGCTTTTGGAACTAAAGAATAAGAAAAGGAAAGATACATAGACAAGTAAAACCGGCCAGTCCTATCTTTGGACTAATAAGGAATACTTGTAATTCAAAGTAAGAGATATTTGATCACTCTGGTTTGGGTGAACGAGTGGTTGAACCAGATCACGAGCTATTGGGCTTATATCAAATCTGCTAAGACTCATTAATTATCTCTTAAGAGGGCACGCATTGTCCTGGTCAATTGAGCTTCAAGAGTGGTCCTTTATTCTGTATTTTCAATTTGTTGCCTGTCAATCTACAATATTGATGAGTTATAAAAGCTAACTTAGCAGCTCCCTTGAAGGATAGTGCACTGGTTTCTATTCCTCATTTGCGATTTATAAATTAGAAAAAATGGAATTTTAATAGAGCTTCTGAATTGAGGATTTTGAGCAATGTCCTTTGTTTCGAATGATAAGAAAGAATCGTCTTTTTATATGAGCATGTGATTATCAAGTTGCATTTGTTAAGTCAAGAATTTCCCCAAAAGGCATTTTCTCAATATAGTCTTACTTCCAACTGAGTGCAACCCCTGAGTAACTCCTCAAGATCAGATACATCAATTGATCTCCCTCTTTTGTCTGCCACTGAACTCAAATATAGAAACCTGAATAGCAGCATTCAACAGACAAACAAGCTAATAACTAATACAGCCTAAGATCAACCAGAGTAGCCCTAGCATTTTAAGTCAACAACGTAATCAAAGTTTAAGCTGTAAATACATCCATTGATGAAGAAGCAAAGAAGGTAACTTTTATACATTCAGATACGGATTCATAACGTAGAATTAGAAAGAGGCAGGACTAAGGGTACTCCCAAAAATAAAAAGTAAAGATATGAAGACCTGAGATCTGTGCAGCCACGACCTACGTCAGAGAGGAGCTTTCCGCTAAAATCAGAGCAATTATGGAGGCAAAGCTCTTCTAAAGTCGGCGGGAGGATGAAATCGAGCGAGGAATCATCGAGGCGAGTGCAATCCAGCTTTATGCTTCGCAGGTAAGGGTTGGGAGGCAACAACGGTCTCAGCATATCCGAGGACGGAGCAATATCCTTCAGAAATTAAAGAACAATTCAAGGATTGGAATTGAATGGATTTTTAGACTAACCCAGAACGAAATATCAGCTAGGATTCGGATTTACGAGGAGATGGAAACATGGAAGGAACGATACGATGTGAGTGGCGCATGAATAGAAGGCCTTGCAAGTGCATGCGATGGAGCGTATCGAGGGAACGTCTAGCTTAGTCATGACGGTAGCAAGGAGCGCCGACGGCAGATGATCCAGCCGGGTCCCATGATCTCGGTCCGATTCCGGCGAGTTTACCATTTATTTCGTCGGAGCAGCCGCTGTTGACCTACTGCACTTAAGGTATGAGGTCCTATGACTATGCTAGCTCCTTTTGGGATCCGGCGTCTCTGCCTTGGTTAAGCAGCCAACGAGAGTGCCTGGCTGTTTTCATCCGTCAGATAAAAAAATGAAGGGTTGAAGATGAAGGGCTCCATTTTTTGCACGAATCTCGAGGCCTGCTTTTCGATCTGTGCCGTCCATTTGAGTAAGGCACCTCTGCCTTAAGGCAGAGGATCCCAATCCCTCATTTTGTGGTTGATAATGATCACTCTATAATACTCAAAAAGAGTATAGGGAATATAAATTCTAGGCTAAAGGATCAAATTCAAATTTCATTTTTAAGTTTAAATAACTGGCCCTTTCAAAAAAAAAAAGTTTAAATAACTGGTAAAAGAAATATCCAATTCCTACCCTGAAACTATAAAAATGTGTCAAAATAGCAATAATTTGATAAAAAAACAGAAATAATTAAAAAAATTAAAAAAATGACCGGTTGTATATCCGTAAAAAAATGAAATTTGAACCATTTTTTATTGGTTCGGAATGTGAATTGAACTTTTTTTAGTTCAGGTGCTGAATTGGACTTATACGACCGATATAGGGACTATTTGACCCTTTAGCCTCAATTCCAAATAGATCAGACTAAGTGGTGGTATTGTATATAGACTTTTTTTTACTACATAAACTTTTAAAAATGTTCACGAACTCTTAATATGAACGACTTTTAAGTAACTTCTAAAAAATCTATGGATTTCTATTAAATTATACAAACTTTTATAAATCCCTTATTATATTTAATAGGAGAACAAATTCATCTTAATCCTTCATCTAAAATTGATCTGAACCCTTCGTTTGAAAACATCACCAATCTCACTCCTGCTCTTTTCTTTTATGCATTGTCTTTCCATTTCTTTCCATCTACGATCATTTTGCTTCCGTCACTACAACTCTTCTCCACCATCTTTTTCTTCCGTTGTTCACTATCAATTCTCTTTCAACCCGTGCCTTCTACTTTTTTCTTTTGCTTCTTTTCCTACCTCCTTTCTGATTCGCAAATCGGAGATCCTCAAGGTTGTTGTGTCTTCAACAACATGATATTTCTAAATTCGAGGCAAACTAGTCTTCTAAATTATATAGTCGTCTTTTATTTTAAATGATTTCCGATTTGCTATGTTTATATGACTTAAGCTGTTAATATTCTATGGAAAAAAGGTGTTTGTAATATTCCTCAATCAAGTATCTCTTCCTACAATTAGTCTTATATGCTTGGAAGAACAAGTAGGTGTATTGTCTACTAATTAATTTATCTATTTGGGTTATCAATTTTCTTGGAATGGAGTAATTTATCTAAAAACGCTTTTAATTTTATGTTGAGTTCTTGGTGCTTAAATATGTTGTTTAGTCTTATAGATATTGCTTCTTATGATGTTAACACAATTGTCTTCCATTTCTTTCAACAATCAGAGATGTTATTGATCCTCAAAGACAATGGAGTCGAACATAGAAGCTAGCAGCACACTCCTTAGCCTTGGAAAGGTGAGACTTAACCAATATATGACTCCCTTTAAGAAACAATGGTCATCAACGAGGTAACGATATGCTTAATGTTTTTAATCAAGTGAAGTGAACAAAGAAATCAAATATTAGGTTCGAAGGTTTTCTAGCTACAGATGTCCGTTTGATGATAACTTAAAACTCAGTTTTCAAATTCAGACTGGAATCATTTCTGATATGTGATAAAAAGGTTCATAATGTCCTTGGTGAAGCCAGAAAGGAACTCTTTGAGATGTATTAGGAACTTAATTATAAAGAAAGGAATGAACTATCTGAGTTTTCAACTAATAGTTGTTCACAACACTAGAAGCAGATAGTGGTACTACCAATCAACTTGTTGATGCATTGTGCCATTACTTCAAATCTCATAGCGACATTTGCAGTGATGGCAATTTTGGGGTTTTAAGGTGAATGTATATTCTTTAGTATATTATTATATGGAATGTGAGAAATGCATTGCAGTTTTTTCATTATATTTGTCAATGTTATCACATGAACGTGTTGTTCATAATTGGTTTTTGGTTTTTGAATTTCTAAAGGAGAATACTATTCTTGTGTTCGGTTAGGGAGGGCTGCTTTCACTTTGTTTACTATGGTGGAATGGCAAAGACTGAGATAGAGGGTTTGCTATCACAACAACTAGTCCAGTCAACATCAGAATTAAGCAAAGATAATATGAGACAGCTTTGGTGACTTGAGAAATAGATAATGTGTGGAGAACCCTTGCAAACACTTGAAAGTACATTTTACTCGCAAAAGATGTAAAGTATTCATGCATAAATTTGGAAAATCAAGTGAAGAACATTTATGCAATATCAAATTGAGTCATAGTTAATTGTTACAAAGCACTTAGCTTCAATACTTTGTATGATATACTACAAGCTCAACATTTGTAATACTAACATTAACCATGCTATTAAGGGGGTGTGCATACTGAAATAAGAATGTGAATGTGAAAATGAGTTAACAAATCAGGCATGTATTTTTGTTGAAAGAAACACAAACCCCAACACTCATTGTGCACATAAAAAACAAATGAAGATCTCCCAAATCTTTCATAGAAATGTATTTGGTATGTAAAACAATGAATTGTTGTATGAAGACGGCTGAATTATCAAATTCAACTAATTTTATAATGTAATTGAATTGAATCATAATGTTTTGAAAGACATTTTCATAAATCTTTAATTGAATAGAGTTTTATTCGTAGATGTCATGTTTAATCGAGATGATAATAATCTGATTCATTTGATCAAATAAAATAATAATATTTGAAATTAGTGATGTTTAATTTGAGTACCCTATAGTTAATAATTTAGGATTTAATTAAAAACATTTACTTATCCAAATAAGGGGATAAGTGGGTTTTGTAGCAAAATAAGGATTTTGTAACAAAATCGGAGAATGACAATTTCATAAGTGGGTTTGATAGCAAAATAAGTAAAATTCAATTGAGACTACTCTACTTTATTAGTAGGGGATTGACCTAAATAAGACTAAATAAATCCTTAATTGTCAAAATAAGACTAAACACTAAAAATTCCCTAAATAGGAGTTATTATTTGTAGTTGGACATAAACACCCTCAAGTTTGGAAAACAAACTGCCGCTGATAGAATCCAAACCGCCATCACTCGCCGGTCGCCGTCAGACGCCCACCGCCGGTCGCCGTCGGACGCCCACCGCCGGTCGCCGCCGCCACCTTAGAACTGGACAACTCCACTACAGATTTGGCCTTTGTTGGTGCAGATCTGGTCTTCTCCATCATAGATCTGACTAGATTTGACTGCCGTCAACCGCCGGCCTTGAATATCCGACTGCCACCGTCGATGTCCGACCGACCCCACTGCAGATTCGGCCAACCCTGCTGCAGATCCGGCCAATCCTGCCGGTAATGCCAACATATTTTCAGAATGCCAAAACGAATTTAGAATGCCATTGTAATGGCATTTTTCTTGAGAAATAACAAAATATTCGAAGTGTAAGAATGCCATTTTGATGGCATTTTCTACTAAGCTTTGGCGATTTGAACCACCAAAGAAGAAATAGAGCACATACTTACGATGAAACAAAAGAGGGGAAGAGAGAAACACATAAGAGGCGGATGAGGAAAGAGGGGAAGATACTCCGGCTATAGATCTGGACTTGCTACTCACTCCCTCGTTGATACTCCGGCTCTGCCTGCCTCTGTTGTTCGCTACTGCTCTCCCATGGGGAAGCTCATTGTTGCAGGTTTCACTCGGAGAAGAAGAGATGAGAAAAAAGCAGATCATCTAGTAACCTGAGGTATGAGCAGATCGGAAAAGAGTAGTTGATGTGGTAGAATAAACTAGGAATGGAGAGATGTTGGTTTGCAGAAAACAGAGCTCATTTAGGGAGAAGATAAGTTGATGTCTGGAGAATGGATGTGGTTGACTGGTTGTGCGTAGAAGATAAGCTTATGGGCGAGGGAGCCAAATCGCACATGTAGAAGAGGGTAAAATAGGAATAATAATCCCATTTAAGGAATAAATTATAGCTACTCCTATTTGAGAATTTCAGAGACAATTTAGTCCTATTTAGAACAATAAACTCTTATTAGTATTAATAACTAAAGTGTATAGTTTAGCATGTGCTACATAAAAAACATTTATGATGTTTTTAATTCTAATTATTTGAGCCTTATACCATACTCATACAGACCATACGATACCATACTTGCATACAAGAATAGTCCATATAAGATTTAGAGATACGAGAATATATCAGACTAGATTGGGTGCCCGGACTAAACAAGATTTACACAATATATGTAGTAGTAAAATACAATAAAATAGACCTTACCAGATCATACCCATGGGCGGAGCTAGGGGTGGAAAACCCTAGGCATGGCCCACCACAAATTGTAAAAATGGCTTAATTTTTAAGGTAAAAGATTTCGTTTAATTTTTTTTCAAAAAATATTCTTTGTACCGGCCCAGTCCGGCCCAATGTCCTGGCTCCGCACCTGGATTCATACTGATCACACGAATCACAATATTTCAGTTCAATTTTTAATTACAATGTAATTACTTAAAACTAGAATGGATTAACATGGTTGAAAACTGATCTACATGTTCAATATTGGAATTATTGGACCTTTGAGAGATTAATTGGACTGTGGGCTGGGAGTTAATCTAAAAGAAAAAACAAAAACAAAGAAAGAGAAGGAATTAGGTAAAAAAAAATATAGATCAAGAGAAATAAGTGGCAGCAACCAAGAATGGATCGCCGGTCTTCTTCTTTGAAAAAACAACTCTCGAGGGCGATCACCGCCATTGATGCGGATGACGAGCACCTGCCAATACTATTGGGCAATCACCGCCGTCACGACGCATCACCTTCCTCCTCCAATGAGAGCTCTCCGATCATGAGGCCCCCATCGTCCCCCATTCACCCCCACGACGGCAGAGGGGAGGTCATCGTCAAGATTGACGGAGATCACGGCGGCGAGATGCGGATGGGCGACAGCGGCGGCGATGACTTTGAATTCCAGCACACCCCCAGCAAGGATGTGGCGGTCGATCCGCCGTCGAGGCTCATAGGGCAATTCCTCAATAAACAGAGGGAGGCCGGCGTCGAGATGTGCCTTGACATGGACATGGACATGGATGAGCTGAGTCATCACCACCGTCACACCACCGGTGCATGTGCATGTCCGGCCAATTTCCCATCATCTTCCCCGGAACCTACCTTCTACGTCAACCGTTACAACAGCAACCGGATCCCGGCTTCTAAAGAACTAAAAGTCCAATTCATGGACGAGCAGTCAGGGGATTCCACACCTCCCAGCAGAGCGGTAGACATTGAGGCCGATCATCACCGCCACCGCCACCGCCACCACAATTCCATATCGTCTACCCGCTCATCCTCAAGCGACGACGACGATGATGAGATGATGGAACGACATCAGCCACAACATAGTCGGAGGAGGACCTCCGACAGCAAGACGTTTAGCTTCAATAACAATAACAATAACATAGCAGAAATCGGGGCCGAAGGCGGGGGAGATGGACACGTCGTGAAATGCACATCGTTTCAACGGAGAGGTAGTTTCATGGGCGGGAGGATCATAAACAAAACAAAGTCAAGGCTAATGGACGACATGGTTGTCGTCCCGGACGTAGTGGTGACCGAGAAGAAGTCGGGGAGGTTATTCGGGAAGTCTCAAATAATGCGCTCATCCGGACTAATGATGGGAAAGTCACCAGAAGAGGAAGACGATGACCCTCTTCTGGACGACTTCGACATCCCAGACGAACTAAAGAGGTCAAAGATAGACGCACTAACCCTAGCACAATGGATTAGCCTTATCATCATCGTGTCGTCATTGATTTGCACGCTCTCCTTCCCGAGACTAAAGAACTACCGCATGCGGGGACTGAGGCTATGGAAGTGGCAAGTCCTCATCCTCGTCCTCATATGCGGGAGGTTAGTCTCGGGATGGGCAATCAGAGTGGCCGTCTTCTTCATAGAGAGGAACTTTCTATTAAGAAAAAGACTCTTATATTTCGTGTATGGGGTAAGGAAGGCTGTTCAAAACTGTCTATGGTTAGGTCTTGTCCTCGTTGCATGGCATTCCATGTTTGATAAGAAAGTAGAAGGCAACAATGACTTTCTCAGGTCGGTCAACAAGATCATGGTATGCATGCTTATAGGCATCACTCTCTGGCTACTAAAAACACTAATGGTCAAAGTCCTAGCCTCCTCCTTCCACGTCAGCAAATTCTTTGACCGGATTCAGGAATCACTGTTCAACCAGTACCTAATAGAAGCTCTGTCGGGCCCACCCCTGAATGAGATTCACTGTCACCAGGAGGAACAGGACAAGGCCATGGAGGAGGTGTGGAAGCTCCAGAACGCCGGAGCGAAGTTGCCGCCGGAGCTCAAAGCAAATGCCCTTAAAGACTTGAAGAGCAACAGTAACAAAGTCCTGATCGGCGACGGCGGCTGTGGAGGCGCAACGCCGGCGAGGGTCTCCGGCGTCATTTCTAGCTTCAGGGGTCCGGTGGTGGACGAAAAGCGTAATACCCACCAAGGAATAACGATTGATTTTCTTCACAAGTTGAACCCGAAGAATATTTCGGCTTGGAGTATGAAGAGGATGGTGAAGATGGTCCGGCATGGGGTTCTCTCCACTCTAGATGAGCAAATACAGTGTACGGCTCAAAATTATGAATCCAATCAGATTAGAAGTGAATATGAGGCTAAATTGGCTGCGAGAAAGATATTTCATAACGTCGCCAAACCGAAGTCCAAGTAAGTAATGAATTTAAGTAGAGGAATGTTCATGTCAGGCCGGCCTGACGGGCTGCCCCGTCCGGCCGAGCCCGTTTGGGCACCTTCCCGGTGGAATTTTTTGATGAAATTTTTTGAGCATGTTCCTCATCAAGTCTAGTTTGTCCATAACAAATTTCAGCTCAAAATTCGATCGGGAAGGTCGTCAAATGATTTTTGCAAGTTAACTGGTCCGGAATATGTATTTTCCAGACCAGTTAACTTGCAAAAATCATTTGACGATCTTCCCGATTGAATTTTGAGTTGAAATTTGGTATGGACAAACTAGACTTGACGAGGAACATGCTCAAAAAATTTCATCAAAAAATTCCACCGGGAAGGTGCCCAAACGGGCTCGGCCGGACGGGGCAGCCCGTCAGGCCGGCCTGACATGAAGAGCACTCATTTAAGTATACCTCCCTCACAAATTAAACTCTTGTTTTAATTTTCCATGCATATTAAGAAAGTGAGAAATGTATGATTTTAAGTTGTGTAAAGAGAGAACACATAGACAAATGTCGTGAACGACAAATTCTCTACTAAGAAGAGAAATCCCATATTAGGACAGATGGAGAATGAAGAACTGAAATAATTTTATGATGGAGAGAATATCTTTTACCTTATTTCCATATACGAGCTCTCTTTATCTTTTTTTCAATTAAAGTATTGTGATACTCTGTAAATAAGGTTCTATTTAGTAATAACAAAATTGATTGAATCTATTGCTAAATATATGGGCACCAAGACTTTCTTTAGTAAAGGAGGTATTGAATTGAGAGATTAGTAGAGTTCACAAGTCTATAAGAGCCAGATAGAAATTCTTAAGCGCGCCACTACAAAGTTAATCTTGATCGGGAATACCTTTGGGTATTTATATTTCAGTTTATAAATACTTCTTTCTTGATTGTTTTTTCCCTTAAACTATTTAATCGCTATCAATTGATCCAACATTATGTATTGACTCATAGGCACGCCCCTTCTGGTTAGTTGCTAAAACCGGTTATTGGAGTGGTGTGATTTACGGAGTATATAAAAGTGGGAAATTAAAGCATATAAAAAGTATTGAAAGGAATAAATGTGTTATGTGTAGAACCGGAAAGAGAATAACATGAAATAGTTCAAGATATGTAATATTCAAGGTTGCGACTAGTGTGTAGAATGTGTGCGTGAAATTATCAAGTGAAACGTTTCTCTCCAAAATAGTTGAGATTACATTAGCATTATAATTTGACTTGGTTTAGAAGTAGTTCTCAGACTCATACTATTAAGTGTAGGAGAAGAGCTCTATATCCTCATTACATCAAAGGTAGTAAGATCTTCAATTATATACTTGGGCTAGCTTCAATTCTCGAATTTACATTGAAATTCCACCTTGAAGTTTCTAGTATGTACACAATTTCTCTTCCACTACTCAATTACTCATAAGATAATGGAATGAGTAACATTGTCCCTAGAAATTTGGATTGGATTGAGTTGGGGAGTAATTCTACTAGGTTTAAACATTAGTGTGGTAGTTAAGTATGAAAAATGAAAACATTTACCCTAAAAAATTAGCGAAAAATTAAGTTCTCTAAACTTTCATTGTTGAAGGATCCATGTGTACCGGCATGGACCCTTGAACAATGAAATCCATTTATTAATTTCATGTCATTATATGTGTGCATAATATGTGACATATATATGGGCGCATGCAGTTCCATCTACTTGGAGGACCTGAGGCGGTTTTTGCGAGAAGAGGAGGCAGTGCAGGCCATGAATCTTCTTGGCGGGTCACACGAATGCAAAAGAATCAGGAAAGCAGCCCTTAAAAACTGGGTGGTAAGCTTATATCTATCTTTTGTCTCTATAATAAATCTTCTTCTCCTAAGAACTTTTTCTAGGAGTTAGTACTACGTATTTTATTTGACACACGCATGCATGTGTCACACAATCATACACTAGCAGGATCATTGTAATAGAGAAGTAGAAGTTGATGATTTTCGCTAGTAATGAGTAACTTATACGAAATATATATTCATGGTCAAAGGTGTGCATCGGCAAATGTGAAAAGTTAAACGTTACACTTATTTAGAAACCGATGAAGTATTAGATCAATTTGGCATGGGTATGCTTGTTAGATTGTTAATGAAGAAACTT